GCGGCCTGAAGTTGTGTAAAGTCCCGTCAGGAAGTTCGGAGCCAACTTTCACGCCTCGCCTTCCATCCGGCTCACAGCTCCCGGAGCGCGGCGGCAGTCGCTGCCTCACGGAGCGGCGCGCGGCAAAGCTCGCCCCGCGCTCCCCTCAGCCGCCCCGCTGCCCCCCCGCCCGCCGGCTCCAGTAGCAACGGCGCCACCGCGCCGAACATGGCGGACTAAGAGGACTAACCCCCACAGCCAATAGGATGCCTCCCGCTTTACCTGTCAGCCAATAGCGAGCTTCGGCTCACCTGGAGCCAATCCCCAAAAGGCTACCTTCTACCTACCGCCAATCGTAGGCCAGGAACCATTACCTGGGAGAGTAGTGGCTTCCCGACCAATCAAAAGCCAGGATAGAACCGGGAGCCGAACACCTGCAGCCAATCAAAGAAGCAAGCGGCGGGCGTACCCCTCCCTGCGCTGAGGTGACAGGTGTGGCGTAAAGGAGGCGGTAGGTGGCGATCTCTTCGCGGTGGAGCCGTCCCACCCAGCTCCCCTCGGACACTGTGCCTCTGTAGCACCTCCGCGCTTCGAGCCGCGGCAGCGCTTGGCAGGAGGCGGGCTCAGACCGGTGAGAAGCAATGAGTGCGAGCGACACCGCGCCGGGAGGGCTATGAGCGCCTCCTGGGCGCCCTCACGGGGCACGGCGGGCAGCTCGGGCAGCCGCGGCTCAGAGCGTGAGGGAGCAGCGGGGCGTGAGGAGAAGGGCGGGCGGCCGTCTGAGGGGAAGCGCGGGAGGCTGAGCTGAGCGGCGGGCAAGCGACGGCTCAGAAAGAACGACAGAGAAAGCAGGGTTCCATTCGCTGCTCTGGCACTTCGTGCTTCGTTGCTGTTAATTTAACTGAGCATGCCTAGGATTAATTATGAGGGAGGAGGGCCTCCTTAATTTGCAGAATTTAATGAGGCGTGTCGGGCTCAGGTTCGTTCAGGACATCCGGAGCGGCGGGTCCTGTGTTTAATTTCCCCTCCTTTTGCTCATCGCACCGGTATTCCGACAGGAACACGCGCAACACCCGCGTGCTTCCAGCAGGTGGCGCAAGGCTCCCAGGCAGCGCTCAGCCGGAGGCAGCTGAGCTGCGCGGAGCTGCGCTCTCCAGCGTTCTTCTAACCGCGGCTCCTTACAAATTCCAATAGAAAGATACAACTGTGATGTTTAGGTCTGATGATGGAGTTGCAGGACCTGCGGGTTATTCTGTCTTTTCCTTGGTGAAATCGGTTCTTTTAGGTACAAAGTCTTTGTGTGAGCCTTACGAGATTGGAGCAAAAAAATCCAATCCTTCACCCTTTCAAATGTTTGAATTAAGACACCGTTATGACAAATAGTTCCTAAAGACCATTTTTTTTTTTTGGGGGGGGGGGGGGCCAAAGTACCGTTTGGTACGACTTTTACCTTAAAAAAAAATAAGGAGAAGATTGCTGTCCTGTTTTTATTTCAACTAGTGACTCAAATCTTCAGATATTTTAGGACCGCCAACTTTCTGAGCTTTTAGGGATTTAGTGGGGATCAGAACTGATGGTTTCAGGCTATGAACAAAACAACAGGACAAGAGGACAGAAAGCTGCTATCTTCACACAGACATGAAGTGTGAGTAATCAGTTCTGTGTCACTCAAGAATCAAAATGCACCTCCGCAGAATTTCTTCTTTAGCAAATCAAAGCAGCTGCGCCTGCAGACAGACAGCAGGCTGCCTCCAGCCTACTGACTCTCTTCTTCCAAAGAAACAGCCAGGCTGTATTTTCTGTTGAAATTGATGGCAGCGGAATCATTGGATCCAGTAGGGGCAAGTATGGGCTAAATAGCCCTGAGTTTGGATTAAAAAAATATTAGGGAAAACACCAATATATTTTAACATAAACTGGAAGAAGGCATATATCCTGCTTGACACCAGAAATCACTGTGGTTGTTCTTTATTGATTTTCTCACTTGTTGGATAGCCTCTTAAAATAGACAAAATGAATGATATTTCAAGGCTGCTTTAAGACAATACCTCCTTACTTGTCTCTTTCATGCACAATGGAAGCACCCAGAAGCTAACTCACTTTTCTTGACCTGGAGTTTCAGGAAGGATTCTATGGGTAGACCAAGCTACATGCATTTAAAATAAATTAAACCAAACCTGTATGCTTCTATATTTATTTTTCCAAGATATTTCGACAGCCCGTCTCTGTGGAAACATATTTTTAACCTGTCTTCCTTTTGCGTGTGAACACCAGCAGACAGTGTACTGTAAATCTTTTTTCTCGCTGCATACCCTGATCCTAATCCTTCAGAAACAAATTCCCCTTCTGGAAGGTGACAGTGAAAGTGTAGAAGAAAGGAAATGAGTGTTTCTGCCACTGAAGACTTGGAACTGTTGATTCAGAGCATGGAAGAAAATGGTAAAAAAAATTTTAAATCAAAAAAACAAACCCTGGGGATCAAATTTTCACCTTGGTTCTTCTAGAGTCTTATTTTGTTTCGCTTTTCTTGGACCAGACTAATTAAGCTTTTCTGAATTCTCATTGTTGGTCCAGCCACCATTCAGTTGGAATGAAAGGCGATCGCTCTTAACGTGGTGTATTCCACATCCTGAAAGTGTCTGATGAATCCCTCACTAAGAGTGCCCAGAAACACCACTGGAGGCAATCTAAAAGTACTTGTAGCAGACTTGTTAAATGTTTGTTCTTTGTAAAGGAGAAGTTCACTTTAAAAATATGATATGTGATATGGTGTACAAAATATATGAAGAATCCTTCTGGCTTCCAAATATTCAAGCTCATATATGTGTGCATATATTAGTTGTACATATAACCTAGAAAGATAAGGGCTGGGAAATCCTACGTAGGTATCTAAAAACTATGGTAGGATGTACAGAAATAGATCTTGTGTGTTTGCCTCACTCTGAAAGAAACAGCAACAAAGGAAGAACAGCCTGGATGGAGAATCGTGCCAGATGTTTTACAGATTACTCTGTATTCCATCGTTCAATCTTTATTTAATCTTAGAGGACTGTGGTAATTCTAATTCTGGCATAACCCAGTGGACTATGTATTTGTTTGCAGCTTCCAGCCATGTCTGTTCCCAGCTGGCCAATTATTTATTATATTGTAAAGAAAAACGTCCTCTTCACCCCATCTGGTTTACCTGGTGCATGAAAATTGAGGACTTCATGGTATTTATGCTAGGAAAGGTAATTCCAGCACTCTTTTCATCTCAGGAAAAGGTGAAGGTATGTAGGAGATCCATGACAGGCTTTATACCAAAAGATGGAGGCTGGACCTGTGGGCAGAGAAGTCTTTGCTTCAATAGGCTTAGTCACTGCTGTGCGTTGGCTGGTCCTACATCTGCAACGACCAAAAGTTTTTAGATACCTGAGAGATCAGGAATGTTTGGAGCTCTTTTTTTGGACCACCGATTTGCTGAACAGGGAACTCCAGTAACATCTGATTAGTTCTGTTGGTGCTGTATTTTCTGACAGAGCGCACTTTGCTGTCTTCTCGGATTTGTTTTTAACTGTGCATGACTTGGTAAAAGGAATAGCCATGACATAAAGCTTGTATAAGGAGAGGACAGATCCTTAATGCATTATGTAACGATGAGCTTAGGTCTTCAAAGTCTTTTCATTTAAGACACAAGCTATAACAGCAGAAAGAGGCAGTGGCTTGCATTTCAGCTGCCAAATTTTTCCAAATAGATACACATCCGTTGCCAGAATTGTTCAGTCTTCATTAGGAAGAGCTAGCTAGGTATGCTTGTAACACATTGCACACAGTGTTACTGTATCATCAAACAACCTTTGCAAGTGTTTTAAGCCTTATAACCAAGAGAGCCCAGGGGAGTCCGAGGTGTTTTTTTTTAATAAATATCCTAAGAAACTTTCAGTAATCATTTGTTATCTGTTCTGCTGCACAGGCAGATCTGCACGGGGTGCTGTTTTCCTCTTAATGTGAAGTGCTTTCTTAGGTTAATGACTGAATATTTAAAATGAGAGTGTTCATATTAAGTGCTTTGTTGTACCAACAGCAGAAGCCTCATTGAGTTAAATTGGTTTCGCTACATTATCTGTTGGATTAGGAACCCTGTTAAGAACTGATGTGAGAGCTTTTACTTTACCTTGAATAAATGCTTCCTTCTTGCCCAGAAACAGGACTGTATATTATCTGTATAATATACAAAAGTTATTGTATATAACTGTAATTATCTGTATATTAACCTTTTAATAGTGCAGTCACTGCAAGCATGTCTTTCAAACTAATGGTGCAACGCCTTGTTCTTCTTGTGCCTTGTTTCTTTTCAACCTCTTTAGGTAGCAACAGCTATTTTTTAATATAAATTCAGTAGTCTGCAGAAGAGCCCCACAGAAAGCACTCATGAGTACAGAATGGTCCTTTCTCTTCTGTTGTCGAGGCCAAATGAGAGTTTTATGAGCCTCTGGGTGCTGAAAAGGCAAGACTTCATTATGGGATGAAATCCCTGAGGTTATTTTGATTTTCCTTGTAATGTCTTTTATCTTTCGGTTCAATAGCTGGAATGTCTGCTTTGTCCATTTTATGGGAGCTACAACTTCTATACAAACTATGCTTTATTAACACTTCACATTGAGAATGATTACATTAATACGTATCCCTCTTTCTTTCTCACAGACACACCAGGATTTTAGAGCAGTACTCTACTTTGATGAAAGGAATACAAATTCTTCCAGGTACAGTCCTCATATATATATTATATATGTATTTCCTTCCTGATATTAGCACAACCCATCCAAAGCTTGCTAGCCTTCCAGTGACATCAGATTTAGCTTATTTATTTCTGTTTATTAAGTGTGCCATAAAAATAGAGTTGATTAGGGCATTGTCCTCAGATATTAATAATGTATAATGGTTTTCAAATGGGAAAAAAAATCAAAAGTGTGAAACAATCTCAAATGTACAGAAGCTTCAGTTTAATTCAAAATTCCAATAATGACACAATACTCCTGTACTAACATCCCTCCTGTAAAAGAATCTGGAAGGCATCTGTTTTATTTCTGGCTTTGGAAACACATTGCAAAAACTGTAACTTCACAATGGAGGTGTTCTGCCTTGTGCTGCTGTGCAACTGCAGCAGCAGGGACACCTGTTCTCCCCTCTGAGTCACCTCATTCCTGGAGTGGACACAGCTGCCACATGTATTCTCACATTCTGACCTCTTGAAATATTCTGAGGTTTCCCCCCCCCTTTTTTTTTTATGCTTTATGTGACAGCCTAGCATTCTGGTTTTGGTGTTCTTTGCTTTGTTTTGTCCTGGGTGGTGGTTTTGGTGGTTTTTGTTGTTAGGTTTGTGGATTTTTATGAGGAAAAGACCATAGCCACCCTTTACCTTGATCAGTCACCAATAGCTGTGCACCTTGAAGGTCTGCAGACAAATACAGAACAATGCATTGAATAAACCTTATGAAGAAGCCAGCAGGCTGTGCAGCCGGTGACTGGCACCCAGGTGGAGAAGCAGCTAATTTTGTCCAATAACCCCCTATGATTACCTCAGTTGACTTCAGGGTAAGGACTTGTGTCAGGTGCACAACTACAGACTCTTACTGCTGAAGTAATTAGATTAGACATTGCCTTTAGAATGTATGCAGCCACTTTCTCACTAATTACCCTGGATAACCAGCCACTGTACACTTTGAGTGCATGTATCTAGTTGGAACCTGACAGTTTCTGTGTCTCTCAAAAGGATTTTGCTTCTGTAGATCTCAAAGACTTAGTAAAGAAATCAGTATAATTATACCCATCTTGCAGATGATGCAATGAAATGACTCCAGGAAGGTTCATCCTCACATCAGTGGCAAGAACTTAGTGCAAAATCCAGGTATCTCAGCCCAGGGCCAGACTGATGAGAACTTTCTGGAAAAAACATAGCTGGGTGATGGTTTGCACCTTCCAGCACATGGCTGGCAGAAAGTGTTTCCATTAGAACAGAAATAATCCACGTGATCCTCAGCCTGACTTACAATGGGATCATAGTTTATATCATAGCTCAGTTCAGGATCATTAATTTTTCTTCAGTGCATTCTCTTACTTCAGTGATATTGAACAAATCTCTTTTGAAGTCATAAATTTGCCTTAAAATGCTCTTTCAGTTCTGGTCATATGAAATTGAGCCGTGTGTCACAGATAGGTAAGGTGGGAGGGATGCGTGAGCCAATGCTTGTTTCCTCCTCCTTGCAATTCCATCAGCCATGCCCATCTTCCAAGCCCAGCACTGCTCTTCTCTCATTTACATCTTGTGTCCTATTTCATCTTGCACCTCCCCATGCTCCCTTCCACAGCTTTCAGCCATCTCCTTAGCCTCACTCATCCCCTCCTTCTCTCATGTAATATTTTCTGTTGCATCTTCTTTCTCTAGGTTTGGAACAACCTTATCTTTCAAGGCACCAGAATCCCCCCAAAAAGGAAGAAAAAAAAAAAAATCCAAAAAAGTGCCTTAAATACGTCTGTTGTTTTAATCTATATCCCAATCTATTTACTGTGCTTTTTTGATAGAGATTAACTATGAAACTTGTATTTGCTGTGAATACTGCCTTCATTTGCTGGATCCCTGGAGTTACTCACAGAACAAAGTGTTATTTGTATGAGTGTGGTGAGAGGATCCAGTCTTGAGTTGAGGGGTGCGTCTGAGTTCTCATACATTTCACTGTCTAACAGGGAAGTGAAGCCTAACATTATGTCAGCCATAGAATAAAAACGGCAAAAATATCCAAAGCGACTGAATGACTTAAAGCCATTTATGACACCTTTGAACTTCGCTCAGCTATTTTGTGCCAGGTGCAAAAAGGAGATTTTCAGAGGCACGTAGGGCAGACTGCCACTGAAACTCATGTAGGAAATTCTAAAATCCTTCCTGAAAATGGAGTTTGAGTTCCTTCATTACCAAGCTCCTCTGAAATTGTTAGTGATCCAATGCAGAAAGGCTGAGCTTTCCCTGTTTCTGAACCACTTTTGCCTGCGCTGGGGCCCACTGAAGTACCAAAGGTTACTATGCTCAAGTGTTAAATCTTTCATTAGCTTAGATCTGAAATGTAACGCTGTCATTATTAACAATTCAGTAGAACTCCATGTAGTGTATTTTATTTCATGCTGTGACTAAGAGCACTGAAATGTTTTCAATACTTTATCTAAGACAAAGGAAAATTCAATAAACCCCCACTTGCTTCTATTTTTACTTTTACCATGGGATTTTTGTGATTAAAATTGCCAACTTTGCCACTTGCATTGAAGTCAGACCATTCCACAGAAAATCACTTGTGTGGAAGCTGGGAATTAGCTGTTCCACTATGAAAAATGAAATGCTCTGAGCATGAGAGGCTAAACCTTCATTACTTACCAGTGCTTCAGGTGGAGAAAAAACATGGTAGTTCAAGACTTAAACTTCTGCTGTTATGTACATATGAAATGTTTTCTCATGGTAAGAGAGGAAACAAAAGGAGCTGGGATTGTTGAGCACAGTACAGTCCTTAATGTATCAAATCAGATTGGTAACAAACTGTTTTTCTTGCTGCTTTAGTAGGAATTGATTGCAGGAGTTTCTTGACTAGAAATGTCTCAAGGTCACTGGAAAATATTTTGAGAAGAGATGGCACAGTACAGTTTCAGCAAGGACTGTTTAGTGTGTAGGTACTGTTCAGTTCTTGGCTCTTCACAAAGTTCTGGGCTTTTTACATAGTGTAGGCAACCCAGTATATAACATTGACTGCTGCAAAGGCTGCTGGGAACACTGCTCTGGCATATATATCGATGGTGTCAGCATCAATGGGCTTAAAGAGGGATTTCAGACCACTCTTTTTATCCAGTTTCATCTCTTGCTGCTGTTTAGTCTCTCCAGTCTCTATTTCTATTGTGCCATATGATCCAGGCAGACTTCTGGGGATTCGGTGGTGCCTGTTGGAAATGGCCAGCTCCTGGTTCACACCAGCGATGGAGAGGGAGAACAGAACAATGGCATTCTTCACGTTTATCTGCAAAGGAAAGAGGAAAATGTATAACAGAAATTTATAGCAATTTGTACTTCATCCAAACTATCCGTGATGCTGACATGGTGAAATATATGTGAGAATGATAAATGGTATTTATTGTTTGCTTTGGCAAACAATAGAAAGACCTCTGAAAGCTTCTGTGCTACCACATCTGAGCTCTAAATATGTTTTTGAAGTACAAGTCTTGAGACAGACTTTACATCTCTTCTTATTTGTTCTCCTTTATTCTCTATTTCCCATCTTAAATACAGCAACCAATCATGCAAGGCTATGTTGCAGTCGTTGTAGTGCTAACTGAGCATTGACAATTACATTCAATTGTTTGCTATAATAACAAAAGTATCAGAGAATTGGAAAGGGTGTTAGATAATGTAATGTAGGCTGTGTTTTCCTATGAAGAGCTGGACCTGATGGCCCTTCAAGGTCCATTCCAACCTGGGCTGTTCTATAATAGCGTTTCTATAAAAAGAATTTACTTCCATAAGGAGAAAACTTTGCAATGCAGAGCCATTGCTTTTGCAAATCTTTTCACACTGCTTGGCTTACTGACCTCTCCACTCTGCCTTCTCGCTTTGATCTTGTTCTTCTGCTTTTTCATGTAGTCAGCATTGAAATGTGCAAAAGCGTATTCTACCAGTGCAGCGAAGACAAACACGTAGCATATCCAGAAGTAAACATCAAGTGCCTTGATGGCAGATGCTCGTGGAAGCGAAGAGCGGGCGCTGACCATCAGTGTAGTCATTGTAAGAACAGTGGTTATGCCTGCAGTGTGGTATGAGAAAGCTCCTTTAGGTTTCATAACACACCTTCATGAGCGCGTTTACCAGTCTGAAACTGAGGAATACTTTTCACAGCAGAAGACCCTTAATAGTATGGTTTCTGTTTTTCCAAATGGGATATAAGGAGATTGTAAGGACCGTACATTTGCATGACTAAGGCAGCTTTGAACAACTTATCTTTGGTTTTCGTCTAGTTCTGGATTAAAACCAGAAGACTTGCACTCAAAAACTTTTGGGTCTGGACTTGCAGCCCTTACTCAGGCAAGCAGACTAATAAGCTTTAGGAACATCTTTTTGTCATGGTTTCAGTTTCTCCAGATCAGTTCTTTTATAGGACTGCCTCACCTTCGCTATTGCTTTTAGCCATCTTTAGTGGCCGGTGTTCTTTATTGAGGTAACTGTTTTGATAGCATGGCAGAAATTAAAGCAGGCAGGAAATATTTTAAAGGACACTCTCTTCCGCACACTTAAACACAGTATTCATAAATGCATCTGAATGGAAAACAAGACATTAGAGAGCATAGTTACACCATCAACATACCCTTTCCTGTTAGATCCCCGTTCTGTCTGTCTTACCTAAGGACACCCTGGCAGGCACAGCTGACTGGCTGATCCAGAAGGACACCCAGGACATGGCCACGAGCAAGATAGAAGGGACGTAGGACTGAATGATGTAAACACCTCGATTTCGTCGGAGGTGGAAGTGGAGACTCAGCCTGGGAAACTGCCCTGCTGACAAAAAGTGGAGACAAAGAAAGATTCCGACTGTGTGAGCTGCAGCTCGACTGATATGCAGAAGAACATTTCCTACAGAGATGCAGATTTACGTTCTCAAACAACATTCTTTTGGCCAGGGATCACAACAAGCTTTTATGAATCTTTTTTGATTAGTCCTCATAAACTCTGCATGAGGGTTTATGCAGTTCTCATCAGCACAGATAGCTAAGAATAGGTCAAATGATTTGTCTCAGGTCATATCAATGCCAGATCTGAAAATAAAATCATGAGTCTTCTCAAATAACAGTATTGCTTCAAAATGTGTACTGTCTTATCATCTGCTGTAGAAAGTCCTCCAGATACTAAATTTAGATTTTTTAAAAGGCCAAGTTAATTTCAAACTCAAAAAAGAGCTTAGAGGAGATGTGCAGCATAAATGAGGATCTGAGTACATGAAAGAGGATGAAAAATCAGCAGGAAAAAAATGACTCCAATCTTGTACAAACATTGCAATAAAGCCAGTGATGTACGTTCACACCACTGACTTCTACTGGGTGGAATTAGAATGATTTGACTGTACGTCATAAGCCTTGTAACATTAGGTCTAATGGAAATTTTCCTTATCCAAAGTTGCAAATTAGGTCAGGAAAATTTGAGTTATACCTTATCAAGCACTGTCTGACTATTCCACACAGTATTTTCTCAAGCATATAGAGCTGAAGAACATAATATGCTATAGTGACTACCTGAAAGCAAAAGGTTACCATTTTTGCAAACATGAGCTACAGAAAATTCATGTTAGAAACCTGACAGATTGTTTAAATTAGTTACTGAGGAGGAGGGATTCTCTATTATAGAAATAGATTTTCCTGTATGAAAAGAATAACAGATACTGTCCCTGAATTGAAGACAGATCCTGTTACCAGATTTGAAGTTCATCAGTTCTGTTGTAAACTGGTAGTTAGTAATTGTGAATTGAGCAAGCTGCAGCTTATCCAGCCCATGGATCTCATCCTGGTTTTCTGACCAGTGGTAGACAATGTCCTCTGAAGAGTAACCATCTGCCAAAAGAAAGCAGATTAAATGCAAAGCATGGGGAAGAAATTAAGAACCTAGAGGGCTCACTGGGGAAGTGCTGTAATTCCTCTGCTACACTGATTTTCATTGGTCCCATTGCAAACATGCTGTGATTCACTCTAGATAATTCACTATCCTGCTAACATCAGTGTTTCCAGGATCCCATCAGGGGTGGCTTTCCTACAGGGAGAATAATCCGAGTTGATTTGCACTGACTAACAGTATGTGGTATGGCACAGTGCACTTCAGTGTCATGAGAAATGCCCATGTGCCTGCTCACAGGAGCAGAATGACTGCTGTTGTAGGGCTCAAACGAGGCTACCTGCTCCAGTTAGAGAACAGCAGCACAGCACAGACCCGTGTCCATCCTCAAATGAAGTCACTAGCTTCACAATCACCATGTATATCAGGCTATTAATTGCTGTAGTTTGGCATGGGTGCCAGCTGGAAGAGAGGCACAGGGCGCCAGGGTAGGAGAGAAGGGTGGGAGATGCATGAATGAATTTACGTAACATGCAAATCCATAGGAAATCAATCTTTGCTGGTGTTGTTGTTAATGCACAACTTGCTGCAAAACCACCTTGTTTCTTTAAGGAGTCTTGCTTCTTACTTGTTTGTTGCACTGACATCAAAATCCTCAAATTCAATTAGAAAAACTCAACCACCACCAAAATTCCCTGCAGAAGGAAAGAACTGATTGCTGGTTCAGTGTCTGCTGCCTCTACAGTTGGTGATTACATAAGTAAAACTGTAGATTGCTATTTTTGACAGGATAAAATGGTATTGTGGTTAATTGCCTAGAAAACAAAGTCAGGGCTAAAAAATGAAAAACAGAATCTTAAATCAATAGGGCAAATGAATCTTAATATATATATGAATAAATGAATCTTAAATCAATAGGGCAGTGCTTCTGCTTAGAAACCACTGCTCATATACCTAGAGCCCTGAGCTCCTCTAGGTTTCAAAATATGCATTCATTCTTCACTCACCTTTTTGAGCACAAATGAAATTAAGCCATTCTCTGAAATATTCTGATTGATTTTTGTGTAACAGATGGCTATGCAAAGGTTAGGCACAATCACATTCATTAAAAATAGGGAAATCTTTCTTTTTCCTGTGTTTTTGGGGTTTTTTTTTGGTCATTTTTCACAAAGCAAAAATAGCACACCAAATTTTGCCCATGGGCTTCTTTACATCTTGCTGGACTTGATGGAATGTAATGCTAATGAAAAGACTGTCACAGTGCCACTAGGCTTTACATAAAACACAAAGTTCTGGACATTTGTTTTCAGCAGGACTGCAGGTTGTTCAGCTTCACTGAATTAAATCCCACATCTTTAAACTGGAGCTGAACGACTATAAAACAGTCCATCTCTGGCACATAGAGTAAGGGATGCGTTTTGTACCCTTTCTTTCTAAACCCGTTACATTTCACTGATTAAAGCAGAATCACTCCAGCAAGTTCCCTCAAGCTAAGAACCATACATGCAGGCTTCAAGCAAAATGCAGGTTAGATGAAGTGCTGCACTCAGCCCTTACAGCTCTCCAAGTCCAACATGCATTCCTGCTCGTCCATCGGGTACTTGGAGAGGTCCATGTCACACGCCACCGTTGAGGTAATCCTGTCCAAAGCAAAATGAACACCAGTTAGTGGCGTGCAGACAGAGCTGTGGACTTGCTTTTTCCTCAGAATTCAGAGACTGAATGGAAAACGTTGAAAACTTAACATTACAAGAGACATAACACTAACATAACATTAGCAAGAGAAAAACATTTTCTTTGATTTAAATTAATAATTATTTTAAGAAATTTTCCAGGGGAAAAAAGAAAAAGAGCGATTACTTTTATGGTCTGTTCAGCAGGTGAACACATGGCAGAGGGCAGTGGCCCCCCGTCCTGCTTACCTTATGCTGTATAAGATGACTCCATCTGGCTGGAGCCTGATCAGTTTGTTTTCCACAGTCACGTCATGGAACCAGGCAGACTTGGCGTTCACTATGAAAGTATCTGGCAACCAGAGCTTGTCCACAAAGCGGCTGTCCAGCCCCAGGGTCTCATTGGTGTGGTTGTAGGACAGGCGGTCGTCCCGCCAGCTCTGGTGCAGAAATACTGTCATGGTGTATTCCTGTGACAGGGAAATCCCAGTTAGCAAGAGACACTAAACAAAGAGGGTAAAACCTCAGGACTTGGTCAAAAATAACTGAATTGGTTTAGAAATGTCCCCTGTGCACACAGGTATTTTTAGCCTCTGCCATAGAACTGTCCGTGCATCTTAATTTGTTGTATGCTTTTATCTTGGGTGGTCCCAAGGTATCAAAGAATTACTCAGAGTCAGTGGTACAGATACATGTCAGGGGAATTGCATCTGTTGTGCTGGGGAAAGCTGTTCATTTATCTCTGGAAGCACTGCCTTTGGTTTTGGAGGATTTTTGTAGCAAAACTAAAAAAAAAAATCAGGTGAAGTTTTATATCAGTAGTAATGGGAAAGGATGGAGGGAAAGTTCTGGATTTCAAATTCAATCTGTTGTGTTTCAGGAATGAGATTAATTCATACAATGGTTGGTTGTGAGATTTCTAAGTTGTTACATTCCATTGCTTTACTGAAAGGTCTTCATGTGGAAAGGAGGCACATCTCACAACCAATGCTCCCCTTAGCTTTTCCAGGGAAGTATGTGTGGTGAGAAGGAATGTGAACAGCAGTTGGAGCTAAGGCTTAAAATCAGGCTGTTCGTGTGCAGAAGTCTCAGTGACTTACACCTATCTAGAGTCTTTTCCTTGCCAACTTGTGCCCAAACAGAATCTGCCTGTGTCTTAAGATGCAAAGTTTGTTCTTTGTGGTATCTTCTGACAGTCTTTCCACTCCAGACACACAAAGGATCACCTGTCTCTATTTCACCTTCTGCACCTGCTGTCACTGCACTGCAGACATTCCCAACTAAGTGTAATTCAACGTACCATGTTCACTTCTGAGATGTGGTCAATGCTGGCTACTTCAATTGCAAGAGCAACGTTAACAGGAGGACCTGAGAAAACAAGTTTGAATGACATGATTTACATCACAGCAAGATGAGTATGGAGATGACCAAAGGCTGTTGACTTTTTTATCAGTGATAAAATCAATCAGTGATAAAGGAAATGAAATACAGTCACAACCACTGAAACTTATGTGATCTCTCCCAGAAAACATGACATCTCGTTTCAGACAAGACGCTGTGTGTTCAAGCAAACAGAAACTACTGCCACAATGTGAGCCAAAATGACTTCAATTTAGGTATCAGTGGTTTAAGAACTGTAGCAGCAAGAAGGCTGCAGTGCTAATTTCTGTTTCAAATGGCAGAATAAACACATTGTTTGCTACTGTTTCCAGAATCCAAGTATAAGATTAACACAACTCTTGAATCAGAGAATGAAGTTCAGAGAAACATCAGAGGGTAAAATAATCGTAAGAAATAAAAGGCATAACTCTCAGTTTCTCACCTCCAATCCCAGGCCTGAAATTACGTGCGTAGCCTTTCATCAAATCATCCAGGTTGGGTAACCAGGATATTTCGATGTTGGAGCCTATGTAATCTCCAATGTCAGTCATAGCTCTAGGTAAAGAGAATTGGAATCTTTTAAAACTTGCCCACATTTACAGACATGAAAAGAACGGCAAATGGAGACACTGTCCTCTTCTACTCCCTGACCACCGACAGTCAAACCAGTAAGCATGAGTGGTACTTCAGAAGAGCAGTGTTGTTTATGGTAGAAGAGCATTTCAGATTTTTCTGTTTAAATCAAAACCTATTCCAGGAAATCCTGCGGCTCCTGTCTGCAATAAAAGTAGTTACTTTCAAAAGTATTTTTTTTCTTGAAGAGTTTTAGAAATGCAAGGAAAGCATAAGGAAAACCAGGATACTTTGTATACTGCATGAGATGCAGCTATCTGGGTAGCTGGATTGAGTGGAGAAAGTGGGGACCGAGGAAGGATGGATCTTTTCAAATGTGATGAGAAAGAGTGTAAAAATTACTGAACTGGAATTTGGATTGAACATCTTTGATGCTGTGAAAAGCCCTCAGACAGTGAAAAAGCAATGCTAAGTAGGTGTGTGGATACCTGTGTGATGCACGGACATGGACTAAAAGGAATTTTAAAAGTGAAAACAGCAAACCATTGAAAGTGGCATCCCTGCAGTCTTAAGTAACGCTGTAGATATTCCATAATCTCTTACTAACAAGGCAAGCTCAAATTCTCTTCGAAACTGAGCTGGCAGGCTTCATTTGCAGCAGATCTGCGCCTGCTCACATAATCCCTCTTGCCAGCGCTGTGATTGACACAGAAGGAATAGATAAACAGAGGACTGTGACAACGTCTGCCACAACTGTTTGCAGAGAATTGCCAGTGGTTGGGAGAGGCATCTGAGTGCAGGTACTGAATCAGAGCTGTCTGAGCACTGTTTGAGCATCTCCACCTGAGGCCAGCAGTAAGTTTGAGAGATCCATGTCACCAGTAACAGAGGAGAAGCTTGTTAAACATCGACGAAAGACTGCAGAGTAATACAGCATAAGTATATTCTGCCTTGTACTTACATAATTTTCTTAGAGTGTTCATGTGACATTGACCCAAATAAAGCACATGGTTTTTCTCTCCAAAACATGCCGGTCCGGGCGTTCAGCTCTGCAGTGCCATTACTTCTAGCTCTTCTGAGTAAGGATCGTGGCATATCCTTCTGAGTAAGGATCAGAGCCATATAATTTGGAATAAAATTTAAACAAAGGCTTTGAAGATTTATAATAGAGGGGGTCATGTTTCTTTTGTTCTGTATCACATCTCACCAACCACATAAATGCTTCTTTTCACATTAGGTACACAAGTGCACCCCCAGATAACTGAGCTATGCTCAGTCGCTTGCTATGAGGTAATGGCATCATAAGGACTGCCAGGAGCCTCGTCTTTTTTATTCAAAAAGCATTTACAGTGTGCAGCAATTACCCTGTGTCAGTATTCTCTTGTAATGGCATTTTGGAGAGTCAGAAAGCTAAAAGGAAGTTAAAATGACAGAGTTGGGTTAAAAAACTGTGGGCCACAGCTTGCAGTGTTTTAAGCAGATTACTATCTAGAGGGAGTTTTACTTAAATATCCATGACACAATTAAAAAGAATCTGGTTTCTATTATTAATAAAGCCTTAAGGTCAGATCAGTGTAACAAATCTGTTGAAGTTAGTAGAGCTATGTGCACTTAAACCAGTGGGAGTCACAGAAGTGTTACACTGCACCCAGATCCAGTGCTTTAAAGTGACATGAAGATGGTGGGAGAATTTCATTCATCATTCACAAGCAGTGGGGATTACATATGGCCTTAAATAATGTTCGTGTTTTTTACCTGAAGAAGGAAGTCCAGCTAGAAGATATTCATTGAAAGGGATTAACTTTTTGTAATGTAAGCAGTAAGGATTAAAAGAAAGGAAACCACTAATAGTGGAATTAGCAAATTTGCGTCCAAATGTAGGCTGCTGTCAAACTTGTTTTAGTAAGAAAAGGAATTTGTAAAAGTAAGCTGTTGGCTTGTAAAATCCAAGGGATGTAACAGCTCATCAACAAGCTTATCTTTACATTGCACCAGGGCAGAGCCGGATCCCAGGTGGCTGAACGGCATTCTCATGTGTACTGAAGGCACTCGGGAAGGCATTCTCAGATCTGGAGCTGAGGGAGATGGTTGTTATCTCAACTCTTTAGACACATCTCATTTCAAGCAGGGAATATATTTTCATCCGTACAAATGTGGGGTTTCAGCACTGTGAGAAGTTCCACAGAGCTGGTTGTTAACAGCAGAAAAAAAGTTAGTTCCCTATATAGTAGGCAAAGGAGAGAGGAAATCACTACTGGTAGACCTGGAAATACTGCAAAGTTCTTCTTTGCCTAACAGAATTGTCCTTGTCACATGTTGGGAAAGCAGCACTAAGCAGCAGATCTCAAACGAGCAGAGAAACTCATCTCCTTTAGAGCTAAGTATTCTCAGTTTAGAATCAAAATACATATATACTAGAATCCTTCCTTTTGAAGCTGACATCTATCTCCCAGCTGCTATGGGACTGAGATATTCTATTCATCTGGACTGAGCTGGAGAAGCATCAGTCAACTTGGACAGCGTGTCTTGTTAGAGGCTTCAGGCAAGTGAGATATTAGCCTGTCTTCACTGCCTTCTGGAACACGGCTTGAAAATGGTTGCTAGATATTTATCAACTTTACTAGAAAAGATCAGTACTTAAACTGAACAAAGGAAAGAGGCAACCTGTATGTTCTGTGTGAATAAGTGCATTACAATGGCTCAGTAAGATACAACATTAGTAATACTGTTCTTGCACAGCAGTGCCAGTAGCTCTAGCAGCAGTGCAGAAAGCTCAGCAGCATCTCTGCTTGTGGCCAACAAGATACTCATCTCAGATCACACTTGTAGGGAGAGTGCTGTAACCTTGTGGCAAAGACATACTGCAGTGGGATGAGGAAAATCACTTTTTGCATCTCCCACTGCTTCTTTAAGCCTGCTATCCTGACTGATTCCACCTGGGACAGTGGCACAGTCGCTATGATCTGAAAGATCTTATGATTTGAAAGATGGAAATATCAGTTTGACTGATAGTAAGGACTGGGGTGGAGTGTATTTCCTTTGCTGTGAGATAATCTTCTGGGGCACATGGCCCTGATGTCACCGCTGCTCAAGAAAACTTCTTTCTTGAGAAAAAGACAAGGAATCTCCAGCAAGGTCAGCGAACAGTCTGGCTTCTGTCAAGCTCCAGGATTATCCAGGGCACCGTGTGTATCCTTCCCATCTGCCATTCCTGACTCTAAGTGAGGCTCGCTGTAAATATGTTCTGTATTTTGAAATGTAATTGAAAGGGCATTAGGCTTAATTCACAGCAACCTTCTGAACATCAAAGCTCCATCAAAGCACTAAAACTCTGTGAGTTTTAAGCGACAGAAAACAGACTGCTCTGCATGCATTCACGTGATAAAGCTCCTCCATTTCCATGACTGGAAGTAAAACACTGAGGAGGTTACACTGCAGGAGAACAACTGTATGCAAACATATAAAAGCCATTTAATATTGTAGGATCCTAAATATGAAAGACACAACTATTTTTAATTAGAAATTCATTATGAGGCTTCTATTATTGCAGCATACCAAACTCTGATCAAACAGCCTTTCCCCAAAGAGCTGGCAATCAGAAATGCCAAATTTCTTGCCACTTATCACGCCTCAAGCAGACCCAAAATCTTTTCCAAAAACGTTCACCTGCAAACAGCACTGGCATAGGGAGAATGTGCTGACTGAGGTTGAATCAGGCTCATTCAAACAGCACACGACAGAGAATTGCTCCAAATGCAGCTCTGTTAAGCACTCTCACAGGGTACTCAAACACAGGAAGCAGGCTGTGTGCTTTCCCCTCTCCTCTGCCAAACCTCAGCATCCCTTTAACAGGTAGCTCTGCCTTTGGGAACATCTCATGTGGTGCCACCACGTTCAGAATTCTCTGAGGTTCCTCTTCTCTTGCACACTGTGCTCCCAGCTGTGCAGCTGCCCATCGCACAGGGAATTCCGCGCCTTTGGACGTCCTCTGTCACCAGAACCGTGACTCAAATCACGTTTAGTCAACAAAATCAGAGCAGTAAAAACGTATCTTTGATAGCACAGCCTGTTATGATAAAACCACGGTGTCAGTAAGGCACTGCTCCCTGTAAAACCCTGTAAAACCAATAAATCATATGCCAGGACTCCAATAAGGAAAAATAAGAAAGTTGACGTGCTGCTTGGGCTCCTCCAAGAATTATTATTTCGTGCATCAAAAGCCACCTATGTGAGTAATTTTAGTGATGCAAAGGTAAAAATCTGTTTTAATCCCATGTAATAAACTCATCAAAAGGACACTTGCAAGCAAGATTACTTGCTATAGGATTAAAGAAGGTTCTGCCATAGCCGTGCTAAACCCTGAATCATCAGAAAACTGCTGTACTAAACAGAGCAGCTTTCTTTGAATATTGAATGTCTTACACTTGGGCATATTTGGAAAACTACTGCAAACTGAACAGCTCGAAATTCGAAAGCTAGACTTTGCCTTCCTGTGCTCTGTGCCATGAGTCTGTATATTGCTAACAAACAACATCACTGTGGAACTGCAGGAAGAAAACCAAGAAACAGGCAATTAACCCAGCATAATTTATCTAAAAAATTACAGGTTGCACATATCCTGGCAGTTACTGTGCCTGGAAACAGATCACAAAGACAGAAGCTGAGAAGACTGACTGCTTCTTTTTTTTTAATATCCAAACACTACTTTTCAACCGAAATCCTCAGTCCTTGTCCGAGTTCAGACAGTTTGGGATCACTGAAATGACAGGCAAGATCTCCATGCCTTTTGGCCATAAGAAATCTTCTCTGCCTCCGGTGTCACACTGCTGGCTGCAGGGCACGGAGGTTTGGAGGCATGGCCAAGGTCGTGGGATGCACCACTGTGTCAGCCCTGGACAAGGGCAGCTGACACTTCCTCTGATGTGAGGTCCTTCTCCTTCCCAATGGAGAATGATAAGATCTCGCTAATTAATCCCAAAGGCCATGACTGCATCGTTAGTTCGTACACCGCTCTGAAGTTATTAACAATGTCTATGATACAGAAGTGGGAAGACCCCTTAAATATCACAGCCACGCGTGCTCTGGGTGATGTAGGCATGTTTTTGCATGCAGCAAGTCCTTTTTAACTCCCCCTCTGCTTTCATTGCATAATCCGGCAAGCTTTTTCCAAATCCAGCCTCCAGATCAGAGAATATATAGAGAACATAGCTGGTTGCCTAGCTAACACCTTCTGACTGACTGCGACTGCGAATCGCAAACATTCAGCTTTGCAATTTATTATTTAAAAAAACGGCGTTCCTCAAACTTTTCCTGAGCTGCTCACCAGCCCCATCCCTTCCCCCGGAGCCCGCAGGAGCGCTGACCGCCGTCCCGGCCGCAGCCCCGCTGTGCGCGCCGCGCTCCGAACGGCTGCTGGGGCGCTCGGGGCTGCACCGCGCGGTGCGGAGCCGTCGCCAAAAGGATTGCCCGTAATTTAGAGCGCGTGCCGCCAGCAGAACTCTTCCCCAAGCGTCCCGTTCGAAGCACGCCCCGCGGTTAACCCCACAAACCGCTGCTCGGCCTCCCCGCGTCCTCCCGTCCGTGCCGCCCCGTTCCCGCTGTGCGCCGCAGCCCCGGGGCAGCAAAGGAGGGAATGGGAAGGGATTACCTGATGCACCTGTGCTGCTGGGTGCACAGCAGGACCAAGGCAGGAAAAACCCAGGTGAGAAATTCCATTTTACTCCCACGTATTAGACCGCGGCGCACAAAACCGAGGCTCCCCGGCTCCTTGGGCAGCTCCGAAGCTCCGCCGGTGTTGCCATCCTTCCTGCGGCAAGTTGAGGCTCAGTTTCAGCGCCGTATCGCCGCCGGGCAGCGTTGACAGCCCCCGCCGTCTCGTCGCCCCGCTCCGCTGCGCTCCCGTGCCCCGCTCGGTGCCGCCCGGCCCGGGGCCGCCCTGCCGGTTCCGTCCCGCCCGGGAGATCCGGATGGGGGCAGCGGGATCGGCTCAGCAGCGCCGCGCTCCTCCTCCGCCCGGCCGCTCAGCGGGCTGCCGAAAATAGCCCCTGCAATTACAGCTCCATCCCACCCAGCGCGGGAGAAAGAGAACTAAAAGTGCTGCCGAGACTGCGGGCATGTCCCGTGCAAATCGCCGCCGGGAAGAGAACGAGGAGCCCGGGCTGCATGCGGGATGGAGGTTGCGGTAGAGCCGCCCCCGCCGCCGCCCCCTCGGCCGCGCTGAGCTGCAGCTCCGGCCCTTTCCCCGCGGAGCGGCGCGGATTGCGGGTGGGAGCTGCGCCCGGGACGGGAGAAGCCGCGATCTCTGCGCTCTTTGAAAGCTGTCCCCGACCGCAGGTGCGACGCGGAAAGCGGCGGAGCCCGGGCTGTGCGAACTTCTGCCTCAGCGCTTTCGGCGCTCCGGTGCGAACGCCTGAGCTCAGCGGGCGGCAGCTGACACCGCTGTGCGGCCCAACCCGGCCGCGTTTCGGGACCGGGCGGCACCGGCCGCGCTGCCGGGGGCTGCGGGTTCAGCCCGAAGGTCGGACGCGACCTTCTCCTCCATCTTCGCTCTTCTCTCCTCCTCCTCTGCTTTTTGCTGCTGTTCAGTCCAGAATGGCAATTTAAAAACCAACCCACAAAGGAAACACTGTGTAGGAGACATTTTAAAGAAATTGTATTGTAAAGCGAAAATGAACGTGTGGATCCTTTAATCAAATGAAAGGATGCCCGCCAGGTTTGTAAAGTGCTTGGTTTACCCTTTTGTATGGTTGGCTTTTTCTTACTGACGAATACCATCAACCTAAATGGCAGCAAAGGCACGACTCGTTGAGGGCAACAACAGAGGTGACTGGGAGGAACAGCTGTGCACATCTACATGTTGTGTGCAGATGTACACAGCACACACACACATCAGAAATGTGTAAGAATGAGGTGGGGTTTTGTTTGAGAACTTTTCTTTGCACACCACATAAGGTCACACTTGTCCCCAACACACCAGGAGGACAAGACCTACATGACAGCTCTAACAGCTGGGCTGTTGGGTAAAAACTGGTTTGTTGGAAGAGGGAAACCAAAAGATCAGTAATGAAACCTACAGGATGAGATACAGAACAGAAAGATTTTGTCTCTCTGTGAAGCAGAGCAGATTTACACCTTTCAGGATATTTTCAGTTGACATTTTCTCCAACTCCTCAGGCTGACGATCAGTGAGCTGTGTACCTACTCTGAGAATTCCTTGGTGCTGCTTTTCTCTGGCTAGACAGCTGTCATCAAACCTACCAGTAAAAAATGAACACATTTCTATGCCTCCAGAATACATCAGTTAAAAAAGCAAAATGGACATGTAGACTTGTGGACACATAGAGTGACTTTGTATGGTAGATATCTGTGTGAGCCTATAGGAAAACCCCAACAGTGTAGGCTCTAAAGGGAAAGATACTGCTAAGAGTTTGACCATTGCAACAAGTGAAAACAGAACGGTGGTCCCCTAGAAAAATCACTGCTGTGTTCCTCCACAACTGCTCTTCCAGTGCCCATTGACTTGGGGTCCATGAAGAAAGCTCTCTGCTTCTGGCAGTGAAGTGACTGCTCACAAAACCTCCAGTGGCACTGTGATGGGAGAGCGTTTGCCTTCAGGACTGCGATCATTTTCTGGATCATTTCTGATAATCCAGGTGTATTATCAGGGTTCTGATTACACCCATTCACTTGACCAGGAATGTGTATTGCTGGCATCACTTTGAGTGAGCCGGCCTCGTGCTGAGACTTGGATGGATGAGAGCAACCTACACGGCCAATCTCCCAGCAGCACAGTGCAGTGGTTTAACAAAATCCTGGGTTATTTCCACAGGACTCATTTAGCTACCACTGCATGTCTGTGCTTCAGAAACAGAGATGTTCCAAGACCTGTTTGCACAAAACCCTAAAATAAATGTGGAACTTCCTTCAAACAGGCACACTACATTTGATGCAATGGGCCACAATTATATCGGTTCTGTTACACAGAAGATCAATGCGTGGTCACTGGCCATGTTCTCAGTTGATTCTGCAGTCAAATAGAAATTTCAGCCTAACAGTCTGTTATATAGAGAAATATATGGATTTACACCCCCACTCAACAGGAGTAATTCCTATTAGCCAAAGGAAAAAGAGAGGATAAAATAATAATGATATGTATATTTAATTTCCTACAATTCTAGCAGAATATCCCAAACTCTTTAGAGTCAGTGGCAGATTAAAATTGCTCAAGAGGGAGATTAAAAAACAATTAGAATTGCTATTAAAGCATCAAAACAAAACAAATAAGCTCCCCTCAATCTTTCTTATCTAATCCTCTTGAAAATAATTGAAGCTTTCCTTTAGGTACTGGCTTAGAACTGTCAAATAGTCTCACAAAGACGGCCCCAACAGCCATTTCTCCTTAAGCCTTTTGTCACTCTGTTGACTCGCCATCACTCCTCCATCCTTATGGCTGCAGGCACAGCTTTTCTGGGAGTGCTTCTGCCTTCTGACCTCACACATGGAGCTCAGGTGGATCAGCGTCCTCACGGTGGCCCAGAGCTGCAGCCACAGCCGCTGCCTCCTTCACACCACGTGCAGACAGGGATGGCTGGCTCTGCTGCCAGCGATGCCAAGAGCTCTCATTGCCACACCGAAGTCTTACAGGCAAGAAATGCACCCCACAGATCATTAGCTGAATTCTCCCACGATTCCACATGAACGGCTCGTGGAAGACTGTTGTGGCAACGTCGCCAAATGTCTCTGGAAACACAAATTACACACATATGCCTATTTTTATAAATGAGATTTGGAAATATCCGCAGCAATCATATGGTGGGAATATTTAGCTTCTTTCAGAGGTTGCACAGAAATGATTCCTCGCACTGGATGGATGCCCCACAGCCCCAGCTCTGAGATGCACGGCCGGTATTTAAGGACTGGACAAGCACAGCATTGCAGTTACTCTCAGTAAGGCTTCCATCGATGTTCTGCTGATATTTACACTCAGACATTGCTCTGTGTTGTAGAGCAGAGATGGAGAAATCGTTTTACATAATCTGAGCCGCACTGAAAAAAATAAGATTGCATTATTGGCATGTCTTGCTGCCAAACAGCTAGAAACCTCCATAGAGGAGCTGCTGTCACCTTGGAAACGTTCGGGAGGAAAAACCGACCGCCTGAAGAGCAGCATGGAGCCACGCAGCGTCCAGCCCTCCAGCAGCACTCCGGTGCCCAGTTGGTGCTACAGAACTTCACCAAAACGCCTCTCAGTTTGGGATTTCAGCAGTAGGATTTCAATTCATTCGTGCTCACTTCTCACACGTTATCACCCACAGCTGTGCCTACGGGACCTGGGCATCAGGGAGCACCTCTGTACGCCTCCTGGAGCTTGCAGTGGGGGTGGATCCAGATTCCCAGTGGGTGCAATGGGAATCGAGAGAGAGGAGCTTGTCTGGGGAACTGTAACTCGGCACCTTCACAGGGACTGCCGATGGCTTCTCCCACGTGCACGTGAGAGCAGAACGCTGGCCCTGGTGACAAAGGTTCACCAACACGCACTGCACTCACAGTTGATACGAAGGTACCAATTAGCCGTTATTTTTTGACTCAAGCCGGTTCCGTTCACAGGAAGCTTAGAGGTCACGCTTGTCTTTATTGATTGCCGAGGCTGATCCTGGGATGTCGTCGCTCTGAAAATGAGCCGAGCAGCGTGGAGCAGCCATGCACACCCACCGCAGCGCATCCCACGCGGGCTGACCGCCTCCAGCGGCTGCGGCTCGCGGTCCCTCCGCTCCCCCGGCGCCGCGTGGTTCGCTCCGTTGCCGGGGCAGCGGCCGGACGTCCTTCCGTCGGTCCTTCCGCCGCGTCCCGGGCCCGTCCCGGGGCTTCGGCAGCGCTCGGGATGCTCCGGGCACACCGCTGTGTGGGGGGTTTGTTCTTCGTGCAGCTCCGCTTTGCCTTTAAGGTGGCTCCGGGCGTTTAGCTCGGTATATCCCATACTTCGCACTCCATTGCGTACCTCTCGTTCCCTAACCAGATAAAAATACTTTCTTCTGGGCTTCTTTTATTAATAAGCCAATTACTATACATATAAAAACGCTTTGGCAGCGTCCTTACTTCTCCACAAGAGATTTGTGGAAGTTAACACTCAATTTGTGGCTGCACCCTGTCGCTACATATACCTTAAGCGCTCACCGAACGCTGCCGATTGATCTCCTGACACAGGCACCAACTTGAAGGCTTCCTGGAGATCTCTGTGTACTCACCGACTCTCAGCCGTCTCCATGTCATCCCGCTTGCTGTGACGGAACCGCCGGCATGGCAGGCAGTGAGCCCGGGGGTGGAGGAGAGGAACCAACTCTCATCTCATTTCTGGAAGAGGAAGGCAACGGTGCAGCAGCTCAGAGCTCTGACCTGAAAGAACACGAGGAAGGTGAACGTGAGAAACCACAGCCGTAACTTGCAGAATGCTGGGGTTAACTTCCTGTCTATGATGGAACAGTATGGTTCTAGGGACAGTGTGATATTCCAAACCAATGAAATGATCCCAGTCGTTTTCTTCTTAGCATTACACTGTAACAGGTATAGCTACTTCAAACTTAAACCATTCTTTTTTCTGCAGCAGTAAATTCCCTACTTAATCTGTGCAGCATTTTGACTCAGACTTAATGATGGTGAAAACCAGTGTTTGACTGTAGGGACTCAGTTCAGCCTCTCAGACCTCAGCAGCTGCTGCCAGGGGGGGCTCACCTTTGGTGAAGGCCTCTGTGCCTGCAGAGGGGCACAGGTTTCCACCCCCATGTTGGATCCCCCATGGCACCAGCTGCCTATGAGCAGGTGACTGACTTCTGTGTCAGAACATGTGCTCAGTTACATCATGAGTCAACTGATCTACTGTTTAACATTACCATGCATCATTTAGTGCTGAATACTGACCTCTGCATTAAAAAGCTGTACTTAGGTTATTTTCTTACTGTCATTTTCCTTATTACCCAAATACACAATAATGCATACATAATTCATATTGAATAATGCTTAATGAATACTTATAGCATTCCATCCTCACTGCAGGCTGGAGTAATGAGGTGTAGAGAAGGGTGTTAGTGTAATGTGAACACACTGCAGGCTGTTGGCATTCTCCTGCTTTGGTTTCCAGGTGTACAGCAGCAGCCTTGTGTGGCTGATTTTTAATAAACACTGCAGTAATGCTTTAAAAAGTAATCTCTGATCCTCCACATACTTTGACTTGGCAGCAGGTAAGTTAGTGCTCTGCATTTTGAAGCTCAAAGTCTCTCCAGTAAACTGGAGTTTTAATTTCTATTAGAATACAAGCTTGAGGAAGATTTGTCTGACTGTGGCAAGATGGGGAACGAGGTCACTTCTGAAGAAGCTGGAGACAAGTCTGAACATAGCAGGTAAATAATTCATGGCTTTGTTAGCAGCTCCAGTAATGACTTCCTTTGTAGTGGTGATTTACCTTTTCAAGAGGAGGTTTGGTTAACTCAGTTACATGTTTTTTGTCAGGTGAGCCCTAGGCAATATGCATACATACAACACGTGGTTGCACCACATTCACTTATCAGACCTCAAAAGAGCATTTATTAGCCTGGGTGGTGCTACACCAAGCAAAGCCAGCCAATGCTCTGTGATAGTGTGCTGTGTTACATTCAAATCCCTCTGTACTTACAGAGCAACAGGAATTACTGGAAGAAGGGAATAATAGCAGTGTTGGATTGTAAGTTTCTGAATAGTTTTGTACCACTGCGTACAGTCGATTAGCACAGAACTGGTGTGATGATAGCCTGGTACTACTTTGGTTTTACAAGTAGGTGGTAGAGTGAATTTATTCCTGGAGAAATAAATTTGCATGTAGCAAAGGTCATGCATGGAAAATAATTCAGTGGTTTGAATGGGGCTTTAAGTAGCTGCTTCTCTCTTCACAAATGAGAAAGCACAGTTTGGCCTGTTTGACTGACTGCTGATCTGTGCCCTGCAGTGTCCTGACACAGGGTTGCAAGGCATGATGAAAAGCTGGAACACTGTTTATTAACATATGTATGTGGGAAGTTGCATAGCACATATGCCTGCTGCCAGTAAATGTTGACAGTGTTACCATTATCAGCAGAGAAACTCAAAATACACCAAAGTGATTAAAAAAGCCAACAAAAAAAAATCACCAAATAACACCACCACCCATCTTCTGATTTCTTCTCTCTGTATGTTTAAATAGACACAAAAGTAAGAGAGAGCTCACTCGAGATGAACAGTTCTACGCAATGTTTTAAACTAGTTTAGAATGTCCCCTTCAGTTTTAAAGTAATGTTCAGGAAAAGTAAAACCTGAAAACCATGGGTGTGATCAAGAGGCTCAGACATTTAAAACCAAAGGTATTTGGTAAAGATATTGCAGCAATAAATGTGAGTACGAACACTCAGTATTAGATACTTAAGACTAAAAATCTTGGCTTAAATGCATGTACTTAAGATTTCTGTACAGATCACCATTGCTTTTTCCTGACTTACACTGCTGACATTCACAGCATTTTGCTGGAATGAGTTAAACCAAAATGCACTCACAAATGCATAAATGATTGTGCAAACTTTGCAGAGCTTTTCAACTTCTTGTTGTGCTTTCATGCTCATCATTTATTTCAATTCAAAGGGACAGTTTGGAACATTGCCTGGACAACATTACAAGCAGTCAGGCTCTGAAGTCTGCAGATAGAATTTGCTTATTTGCTTTACCCAGGAACCTAAAAGAGCTCAGCTACATCGCCAAAGAAAAGGAACTTGTGGTCCAGAAAACCAGGTCAGTGTTGAAGGAAACAAAGGCCATCACCATAAATGCAGCATCAAATACTGGGTGCTGTACCTGTTACATGTTTATAGCATGTATGGATTTGTCATGAGAGTTATGTGATGCAAACACCTGCTTGATTTGATGAATCCAATACATTCCAAGTCCCTTGTAAAGGATTACAGATAAAAATGGAAAGCTAAAACACTAATAACAATGCTAAAGAATAGAGTGCTGATCTGGAATAATTAGACACTAATTCCTCTCAGTTATATTAGCACAGTTCTGCTGGTTCAACAATCAGTTAGAAAGATTAAATGGAAAATTCATTATAAATATTTTCTTAACTGCGATGGAAATGTTACATTGCAGTCAGTGAAGTCAGCTGTAAACTTCAAAACATGCACCTGCTATGAGCAGTTTGCTGTGCTAAGGTGCATAATCAATGAACACACTATATGCTATAATTACAAAATAAACAAGAAAGTTTACTAAGCAGAATACTACACCAAAAAGGGAATAGACAGAGCACTTACCCTTGTCCTAGGCTCACTGTAAAGTTCCAAAGGAGAGATCTCCAAGAAGGGATCCTTCCTGCTAGTCAGCTCTTAAATGGGTTGAGGAGAGATGCAGCCAGGCTCCACCCCTTCCAGCAGCACAGGTGAATTGCCTGCACCTGTGCTCCCAGGTCCCCCAGGTGATCAATCAGTTCAGCAGTTCCCATACATCAGATAAAAGGACTTTCTCCATCAAAAGATGGATCCTTAGAGCAATAATGTTAAAAATGCTGTTTTCTTTTTCTTTGATAATGTGCTGAAGTCAGACTGAACTATGGTTACTTTTCTGGATTTTTAGAGAAAATACTCAAAATAAACATGGGCTTCTCAAGAACCTCATTGTAAAGTCTTAGAGAAAAAGCAGTGGGGAGGTGGGGTGTTTGAGGAATCCCAACAATCTTCTCCTTCAGAAGGAAAAGTTTCATGGTTGAGGGAACTTAAAAGGTAAATGATGTGTTTATTTGTTTCAGAGATGAGCTGAGTGCCTGCCAGCTGCGGATCACAACACTAGAAAAGCAGCTGGAGAACGTAGACATTGAGACAGAGGAGGAGAAGGAGGCTGGCAATGTGTAGGTAGAGAATATTTCTGGGTGCCAAAGATACAGGCATCCACTGTGTTTATCTGGGTGTAATTAATGCGTTTACTTTTTTCACCTTGCCGCGTTGTTGACAGGGAGCAGAATTTTTCAGCACACGCATTGAAGATGTTCAAAGGTCAATGAAACCCAACGGAGTTACATCTTATGCTGAGAACAGCCATAGCTTGGAAGGCTGTTCTGACAGGAGTGCTGTTCTGTGTGCTCAGAGCAAAGCTTTCATTTCTGTCTTGGTGAATGCTAACGCTGCAGTTGCTTTTCACGTGGTTTGGGATTATCAGCAACAGCTTTTCCCCTTGAAATAAATAATGGTGTGTTAGCATGGATACCCCTGACCTCTGTGCTTTCAGGCCTGGGGTTCTGTCAGTTAAATCAGAGTGCAGAAGGAGGTGGGGACTTAGGAACGGATAGGAAAGAGGCATATTTCTAAAGGAGCATCCAGCAACAACAAGTTATTAGTCAGCCTAGCTCACTGCTGTCAGTTATGTTTATCAGTTCCCCAGTAAATTCTGTTCATTATGATCAACCAACGCCGGTGTGCCATGTCAGTTTTGGAGGTGATGCTTTTTTCCTAACAGTTACAACCAGGATTTATATGTATGCTTTTTTTTTTATTAATTGTTTTATGTTGTGAAATGCACCAATGCCTTTCAGGAGCAGCTCTGCATGCAGGAGCTGTTCTGAAACACTTGTGAGGAAGTGGGAGGCAATTTACTGTACTCCTCACATTTGGTTTAAATAGAAAGAAGTGGGTGGCTTGTGTACCAGGAGCCAATGCATTGTGAACAAACTTTGCAGCTGCATTTTATGACCTGTGTTATTCTTCAATAAGAAGAATCTTGGTGCATCAGCAAATGACAGAATAACCCGGGTGGGTTAATTGCCAAAGTAGAATAACCGATTAAACAAAAATGAGTTTAATGCTAATCAGACTTCAGTGGCAGGTATTAGTACTTCCTGTTCAGGATCTCAGAGAGACTCTTATTAAGAAAAACCAACAAAGACAGAAAGGCATTGTGTGAGGTTTTCATACTTATGACAAGTCAAATTGTGAGGTCTAGAAATGTGGAAAATAGCAATTTTCACAGTCTATTATATTTAGCAAATTAATAGTGAAGACTTGATAAGTTCCTGGCTTACAAAGCTCAAGTGCATCACTTTATAGCAATAATGAAAATACTGTCTGCCACAAGCAGTATTGAAGCCTTAGAAAAAATTGTGAAATCCAAGTAATAACTTCAGGTAGAAGATCCATTTCCAATTTTCACTTCCAAAGATGGAATTTATGTTGAATAAATTCCATCTGTTGTCTATTGATTCTGCAGTGTGCTGTGCAGTCATTTTCCTGGGTAGAGAAGCCCAAGGAAAATAAAGAGCTGCGTTGTTACACTGCTGCTGTAGCCAAAGTGCGCGGGGTATTGTAGTGCCGTTCTAAAGGTGAAATCAATCCAGGTTCTCTAGGTTTGCTTATACTTACTAATGCTTCTTTTATCAGTGTAAGAAATAATCACTTGGAGCCACCTGCCAGTGCTTTTACAGCAAACACTCCTGTGCAAGTATTGACAGATTTGTAGCAGTTCATAGAAAGCTGCACTGCTGACCAACAAATGGACACTTAGGGAGCTGAATAAGAGACTCTGTATAAATTGATGTCATTCTAATACATAACTCTCACCCCCCAAGCTATTATTTATTGTTGCTGACTTTGTTTGGAAGGAGTTTCTGATTTTTTTTAACATTAATTAGTTCCAATTTCTTTCTAATTGTCTCTTTTTTATGTACCAGCCCAGCCGTGTTCCGCCTACAGGCAATGCATAGGCGACTGTGCACTGAGCTGGAGGGTGAGAAGAATTTGGAGCTGAAAATTGCTTTGACACTGAAAGAAAACATGTAAGTGATGGAATGAGAAAACTGTGTGATGGGAGTCAGTCTTTATTATTTTCTTCCTGTGCTGTTTAATGGATCCCAAAGTTAATCTCTGTGGAAACTGTTAGTAAATATTGAACTACATGATTTGAGGACTGCAATGGTTTACTGCAAAGCAAAGGATCTTGAGAGCAACTTATTGCCTAAACAATTAATTGCTTGGGAAATTGGTTGCTGTGGCTCAGATCCTGAGTTAATTTTGCACCAATAAATGAAATTTAAGTCCCAGTTTAATTGGAAAATAGGATGGACTAGAGTAGACCTGTCTGCAATAGCAATGAATAAGCATAAATACTTCTAATTTATGCCTCAGTTGTGAAAGCAGCTCACACTTTGTTTTAAAGGCTTGAGATGTGGCAGATAGAAACCCAGCAGGGAAAATATGAAATCCTCCACAAACAACTTCAAAAAGATGAGGAGGAGCTAGAGATGCAATACCAGGACCAAGCAGAAGTGCGGATTCGGAAGGAAAAAATAGCAGCACTGAAAGCAGAAGAAAATCAGCTGTCTTTAAAAAAGTAAGTGGGGCTCTGTTTCCTTTCCCTCTGTCACTTGTAGCCAATTCATAATTTCGTGTGTTGAGAAGATTAGCTAATGGAAGTAATCATGGCATTGTATTTCCGAGCTGGATTTTGGCTCCGAAATATTTGTGTGAGGAAATAGAATTAAAGTAAGAATTTCCCCCAGTCTTGTCACTGTTCAGATAAGGATTTCTGGCATGATTAACTTGCTAAAGACAAAAACTGTGAATGCTTTTTGTCTAAGGAATTTAAATGTATCAGGTCAGACTAAGTGCACGTGTCTGCATTGCTGCTGGGTGCCAGGACATTCTTAGGACCTTCTCATTGAAACTTGGAGAGAAAAAGGATCCCAGCTTATCAGTTTGTAGCTTTTGTGAAGACAAGAGACTGTACAGGGGGGAGAAAATACTGTCCCCATTTCAAGACATACAGATACACTCCCTCCCCGCCATTCGATATCATTTCCTTAAACCACAGATAATCATTTCCTTAGTGCTGTTGGCTTGCCTGTCTTTCACAGAAAAGAAGAGAAAGCCCAGAAAGGATACGAAAAAAGGCGTAAAAAAATGCTTGAAGATGCCAAAAGGAACCACAAAAAAGCAGTCTACTTCCTGAGAAAAAGCATGGCAAGGTAATCATTAACTCCTGTTTTATTTCCCAGCACTGTACATTCTCAGTATGCAGTGCTCTATCCTGTACTCTTTGAAAAGTAATCATTTTTCTGCTAGATTATGTCCTGGTATTGCACTTGGAAATCTGCTACAATGCCAATGCTCTGAAGCTCTCAAATCTTACTTGGCACAAAAGCACATGAAAAAAGAAAATCCACCTCCTGCCTTCAGATTCCTTGCAGCTGAAGGGACCGTTCTTTGATGGGCTGCACGGAGCTCTGACCACCTGTAGGCACTGATAGTCATTTACAGCTCTTCCCTGTATGTGTGTATGGAATTCAGCTGTGATAGCACAGCTGAATTCCAGGTTGGAAACTGGCCTTTCTGCATTACCTCTGAGATGCAGTAAAACAGCCTTCTTGCTGTCTGGTGACAGTGACTCAAGAGGGCATTTCTGTGTGCTCCTGTTCTCTTATGGTGGGTGGTAAAATGAGTATTGCCTTCCTAACTCCATGTTCATACAATTACTGTGATATTAAATTATTTTGTTACTCAAGGAACTGAGCATTTGTTACTTTTACTTGTATGTTAGGACTTAATTGAAAAAGTGATTGAAATAATTGTACTGTTTTTATGGTGCTTTATGTTTTTCCTTAGATAACATGTACAAACTTAACAGTAATTAAAATTAACAAACTGAACCAAATCAGTTGATCTCTTTTGCTCAGTATCTTACTGGCTTTTTTTTTCAGTTCACTATATGAACTGGGATACTCACAGACTTGATTCATGCTCAAACATATTTCAAGGCTTTTGAATTTCTGGGGTTTGTTTTCAGTGTGGTTTGCTTGTGTCAAGTTCAATATGTCATTGTCTAGATATCAATTTCATGATCAACATCTGAATTCTTACTTTATTTTAGCAACTAGACATATAATGTGAAATGCATTTCTGAGTTCAAAACATATAAAAGAAAGTTGTTGAGCAAACTGGTTGGAAGCTGTGGGTACACATGTAATCAGAGGTACTGTATGTAGAAGGCTTTCTGAACAGTTCTACCTCACCCACCCAGTATTATTGTGAACAGAGACACGCAGGAGATGTTAGGTGACTTTACACAATTACTGTTTGTCTGGTTAAACATGCTAATACTAAAAGCTTTCCAGGATATAAGCTGAAAGATTTCACTGTGCTTACAGAATTCATGAGAAGAATGCAAAGGAAGAAGCGAAAACTCAGGAGCATATGGAGAGAAGGATACAAGCTGTGCTCTCCCTGAAAAACAGCATAACTTCCAATAGGGTACTGCTGCTGTGGCTGAGCTGGGGAATGAAGAAATTGACTTGTTAGATTGCTACTGCTAGCTTTCATTGAAAGTAATTCCAGTTTTCACTGCAGAATGGGTGTGTGATGCTGTGTGTGATTCCGTAGAGCAAATCTCTTTTTAAATGGAGGAAAATCTAACTGCAGGACATAATGGTATTAGATTTGTATGGACAGATTTTTGACACTTCTCCTTAAGGAGCTTTTTGTGCACATTCTAGCTGCTATGGCATGGTAGCTTTCTTGAAAGCAGTGCACACTACAAGCAATCCTCCAAAAATATGGCTGAAGTATTTCCAGTTATTTAGATCTCAAAATGAGAAATACTTCATATGGAGAAAACACATAGAAAAAAGCAGTTACTTAAGTGTCTAAATAATGTAAAGTAAGAATTTCTGAGGTAAGCTACTTCCCTCATCCGTTTGTGTTCTGTAGAATATGAGGGAATGATTTTAATTTAATACTGATCTGATGAGAGATGTAAATATTCTGTAAACATTGCTTCACTGAAGAATATTTCGGAGAAAAGCTAGAAGGGGAAAGAATTAGCGCTGACTTGTCAGAGCTTCCGGCACCTCCAGCACACACAAACTACTGACAACTTGCTTGACTGTTGTGTATATTAAAGACAGTGAGCTGTATTTCAGGTAAAGCTACCACAAATTACATAAGGAGACCAGAGTCCCTCTTCCATTTTCTTTAATGCGTGAATCAAATACGAAGCTGTGGTTTGTTTGGCTCCATAGGAAAAACTCCAGGCTCTCCAGGCTTGGAACCAAGCAATGGTCTCTGAGGCAAAGAAACAGGAGATGACAATGAGGGAGGCTATCCTGGCAGAAGGAGGCAATGTTGCCAAGGAAATTTTACTCCATAAACGTCTTCTGCAGCATGAAAAGGAGAAAGAGTAAGTATTTGTTTTTATATTGTGCTCTCATTGCTCACTGGTGTTCATGCAGGAGTATTTTGGATCTCTTCATTGGATTCCAAAAGCATAACATATATGGTGCTGTCTCAAGAGAGTGACCTCATTCTTATACTCTGGAAGTGTGAAATTCATACAGCCAGTTTTAAGTGACTTGAAATTCTAGCTTATGTATTATTCAGAGAACCAAAGTTTGGAGCCTGTGTTCTGATTTCTGCAAGGAGGATAACCCCCCCCAGGAGGGCAATTCAGTAAACCTAAACCTAATGCTCAAAGTAGCAGCGCTCCTGCATTTCCTCAACACTCTCTGTGCATATAGAAAACTGCAGTGCAGTTACAGCAGCAACAGTGCAGTCTCCTCCCTGCTGCTTTGATATGGACAGAGGTGTGCCTGTATCTCTGCTCTGGTGCAGAGTTAATTATTGTTTCTAACCACGCATGAAGATGAATCTGAGTCAAGGTGTTAAACAGAAGGCGGTTGAGGTATGTGTTTCTGCATGCTGGCTCTTCTAACCTATAGCAAATATTAAAAGAGTTGATAAGCAAAGATTCAATCAGTTTTGATAAATAATGCTTCACCCTTGATAGCTGCATAATACAGCTATCACTGACAGCATTCTAAAAATCCCGTTAATAGAATAACCATAGCAGTTGGTAGAGATCTGCAGGAAATATCTAACTTTTATAAGTTTACCCTTTTTGCCTCTTTCTCCTTGCTTGCCTTCTCCCTCTCACTGTTTCCCTTTGCAGGCACAAGGGAAGCAGTTTGTTAGTCTTAATGTTAGCTGTGACACGACTGCACTTTCACAGCAGTTCTTTTCTAATTTCAGTACTGCTCCACCAGGCGCCTGAGGAACTGCTGAATTACCCCCCCAGGGCTCTACCTTTCTCCCTTTATGTGAAGGGATACTCTCTGTTTTCTCAGAGCACGTTTTAGCCTGAATAAATCTTTCTGAATAGCCTGCAAAAAATTAACTCTTTAGTCATTAAAGCCTCTAACTTCATTTGTACATTGCCTATGAGTAGAATGAAAAAGTCAAGAACTAGTAATAGGAGCAAAGGATGGCTTTATACCTGGAGCAGGTAGCACTGGGAGTCAGTGTACCATTCCTACATTTTGTAACTGCCCTGTGCCTTGGTTTTCCCAAAATATAAATACAGTGCCATTCATTTGCTGTGGTGGCGTATCATGAGGCTACACTAAGCCACTGAAGTGCTTCAGTGGGCAATAGCCTGTATTTAAATAAGAAAGGTGATAATATCTTCTCTCCTATTTAGAATCAGGAGTGATATGAATTATTTGAAAAGGTGAAAATCAAGATTTCTGTATCAGAAAGGATCATTAGCACGGGTAATGTCTGTTGCAGAAAAATTGTGTATTAAACTGCCAGTATTAAAACTGAGACTGAATGATCTGCCCCATGCATCACAGAACTGTAGCTCTGAATTTTACCTTTCATGTTCATTACGTGTGGCCTTACCTTTAATCCTTTTTTGCTTTATTACAACCTACTTGATTTCAGATAGCCAACTGTCATCAACTTCTAAAACACTCAAATGGAATATGTTTAGTCTAAATATACTTGCCCTCTGAATCCCATTGTGTCTTGACACAAATTACTGCTGCTCCCAATTTGAAGACTTGATGTTGAGCTTAAAGGCTCAAAAAATGAACTGTAATGTTATTAACTTGGTTTAACATTTCTTATAACATCTTCTTACAGAGCTTTTAGAGAACAACAAAAATCAAGAAAAATTGAGATTGTATCTAAAATTCTGCAAGAAAAAGCTTCCATTTTCAAGCAGAAAAATCAGCAGTCCTGTACTAAGGCAATTAAGAGTGGTGGTAAATGTACAGATCCTTTACTGTGGAGAAAGAAAACATGGCACTACATTGAGAAGACCTGCAAACATCCAGCTGGGGCATCACAGGTAAACCTAGAGATGTTTCTATTTGTTTATTTTCTATTGAAACTGTAGGAAAGTGAATTTTGGCTGTAGCTCTGAACAGCACGGGCTGCAGCCAAACACCAGATAGTGCAGCTAGTGGAGAGTCACACCTCCATCAGCCCGTCAGATCTCTTGACGACCATTAGTCTCTCTATTTTTGATGGTTGGTACTTTCATTCATGACAGTTGCTGCTTGGTACAGATGTTTTTTTGTTTCCATTTGTATTTTTAAGGCTATTTGTAAGAAGTGTACATTGTAATGTACAATGTAAGACACGTGAATCACAACTGACCCCAAGAGCAGTAAAATTACCTTCACCCCCAAGTAAGGATTCGGATCAGACTGTCAGCACAAGAGAAATGTTTTCAGCATATCAGAATGGAGACCACAGTGTTTTCATGACAACAGATTTCTGTTTGTTTGGGTTTCTTTCATGTATTTGTTTTGTTTTAATTGATCTGCACAATATTACAGGCAGTACTTGCCTGGAAAGGAGAGGTGGGATGAACTGAATCCCTCGAGGAAGCCTGTGTCTGCCTGCAATCCTTAGGTATTTAAAGAAAGGGAGAGAAGGTTTGTGGAAATAGTCATAACATAACAAAGCAAGAAAGTCCTTGGTCATCATGCAGTAGATATAACAAAAAAATTTACAAAACCCAAAAATGTACACAGTCACTATTCACAAGCCCACCCTCCTATGGAATACAGTTATCATCCTATAGATGCTCATTACTGCAATATTGTCTGAGTTGTCATTTGAAGAAGGGATTGGCTTAAGCTGTCATCTTCAGCCTTGCAGCTTTATAGACCAGTCACTCTGTATTAAAAGATATCCTTGGAAACTGTTAACTGCTCATGCATCTGCCCTCTAGTAATTTCAAATGGTATTTCCAAATTTATTTTCTCTCACAGAAGTCGTGGTGCTCTCCATCAGTTTGTTCCCCAGCTGGTGAGAGAACTGCTTCTGTAGGAGAGTGTTCTGAAAAAGTCCCCCACGATGTGCTCTGTGAAAGTGATGAGGATGAGGAGGAGAGGGACAAGATCCCAGCAGAACCAGAGCTCCCAGGACTATTGAATCAGGAATGTGACTTGCATAAGGTAAAATCTGTGATGATTCCTCTTAAAAATAGGAAAAAAAAAAAAGATGTGGATATGTGTATTTGTCCTATTGTTACGCTGAAGTTTATAATGTTCTGGAATTATTCATGGAAGTGTGTAAATGGATTAGAAAAGTTTCGGTTCCCTCTCTAGTAGTTGTACGTATCTGAAGAAATGACACTGGCAGGTGCTGTTCTGTGAATGCAGCTTAAAATCACCAATTATCTATTCTGCAGTTAACATGTCATTACTGCATAGATACAGAGATTCAGATGTGAGAATATCAGAGGGTAATTGCTGTTTGACTCTGTCATCAGTGTTTTCAGGAGAAAACAAAACTTCAATTTTAGTTTGGAGATATGTGAAGACACATCACATCGTGTTCACTTGTTTGTTTGAGTTAAAAAAGCACAAAACCCTGAGAAAGATGAACATGACTTTTTGTTGTGTTGGAAACACAGATTGCTTTATGTGGATTGCTTTATTTTGTCCCAAACTAGACACAGTAAAGCATAATTTTTATCAAATATTCTGTACTCTGTAAAGAAGTAAATAATGCCTAGGCATTGTGTGGCTAAGATCGTGCACGCTATTCCAAAGCATGCTCCCATACTCTACTTTTTTCAGATGTAGGCCTTTAAAAGCAGACTTGAGAATCAGTCAGAAAGCAGTGTGTCAGTGAATATCATGTGCTGTATGAAAGAAGCACTGGACCATAACAAATGTTAGTGAAGTTAGCTGATTTTCTCTAAATGGTTGCTCAAGAAGTGGAATATAACCCCTCCACTGCCATTAAAACAGAATCTTCTAATGCTGGATGGTTGTAGGCTAGAGAACAAACTGATTTGTTCACATACAAGTTGGGAGGCTGAGTTTAACCTGGAGAATAATGAAGGCTGGCCAGAGACTGAGATTCTACTCTATTTTGGCATTTCTACTTTGTTCTGGAGATCCTGTGATCACAGTGACTTACTGCCACCATGTTTTGTTATCGATGTTCCCTGTTAGATATCCAAAGAAGAAATGGATACAAAGCATCTGGCTACAAGGACAACGAAAACAGAGATTTTACAGGAAAAGAAGGAGGAATTCCAAACTAGAATTTTTCATAAGGGAGCAGTGTCTGGTCATGAACATCAAGGACGAACTTTCTATACTAAACCAAGTTGTGTTCATTTCAAGGTTAGTGGTCACTGCACACAGATCTGTAAAGATGATGGATGTTTCTGCTAGGCTCGTATACTGATGTCTTGATCAAAATGCTGTGGCATTGAAAAGATCCTTGTTGGCTGCTGTGGGTTAACACTAACAGACAGCTAAGGGCCACAGAACCCCTCACTCACTCTCTGCCCCCAAGTAGCAGGAGAGGAGGAAAATTTTCAGTAAAGATTCCAGCCTGCAAATGACTATAATATTATACTTACACTAGGAAGAAAGTGAGCTTATCAGTTTATCCCTGCGTTGTAATTAACAAGCACACTGTCAGAAAGTACACTGCTGTGCCAAAACTGCTTGTTCTGTCATTACTTGTGTAAATGTTGCTTCCTGTAATTGACACCTCCTGATATGTTTGGTATTTCAAGGATTTCGATGTTGGTAAAATCTACAAAAAGAAGATAGTTTTGATAAATGCATCCTACAGCATTAACTACTGCAAACCAGTGGGAATCAGTGAATGGCTGAAGGACTTCATCAGCATTCAGTATGTAAAACTATCTGTAGATGAGTTTCTTGCTTTACATTTGTATCAGAACAGGAGGCATAACTCAATTCTGTAGTAAAATTAATCAATTTTCATTAGATACATCTGAACTATTGTATTGCATTCTTTTATAATGAGGAAAGGAAGTGTCTTAGAGCAGAAAAGAAACTTGAAGACTTTGAGCTGCACATCATTGGTTTATGTAGTGGTGACAGCAAGGGCCCAGTCCCTAGTATGTGAAAAGCAGTGTACACACAGTGTCAGTACTTCTTCGAGGTATTACTGGAAATAGGAGCTATTCCTTCAGGCCCTTCTTAGGAGGAACTGCCAGTGACCTGTTCTGAAGCTCAGTGTACTGAAGCTCATTTGCCTACTCGCATTCTGAGCTCGTGTTTTCTGAAAAGTATTTCCTTCTCCATTTCAGTTTGAAAATGTTTCAACTTTGTTGATTTTTAATTCTGTTTTGATAAAACTGTGATTAATGCACATGTTCTGTGTTACAGTGGGGCCCAGCTTCCTAGGTATCCCCCTGGCTAATAACATTCAGTCGTGTATTTTGTCTAGCCTGTTTTTGTCAGGCAGAATAGGGCTCTAGTTGTGCCTCAGTAATTTCATTTGGAGTGCAGCTGTGAGACTTCTTGTCTTCTGATGGGCATTTTGTTTGCATCACAGACACCATGAAATGAGGCATTGAAGTGACTGGCAGTTTCTATTCAAGATGATTTTGATACAGCTTGCAGCAAGCAGCACGTTCTCTAATCACTTGCAGCAACCTTCTTTTTTCCTCTTTGTTTCTATTTGGATAGTGGGATGCTACAGATCCATGGTTAAAACTGATAATGGCAGACTGCTTCCCAGGTGTTAGAACAGGTGATCGGTCCACTCCATTTTAACCATGTTATTGAGCCACAGCTCCACCAGTTGCCTTGTTTGTAAAGTGAACACGAATTCTTTCCTCTTAAAAGTATTGCAAGACTTTCTGAATAAAACCTCAACAAATCAATCTTTGTTGTTTTACAGTTGCACCGGGGTTCTGTGGCTTTTCCTTAATCTGTCCCTCATTCTGACTTTCCAGATGAATAAATTAATCTAAATGGAAAAATATATAAATATTCGTTGCTGTTCCTACCAGAATCAGAACAGGGGGTTTCATACATTCACACATGTCTTTAACTGGGAGTTTTATGCTGCTTCTCTACACAGGTTTGACCCGCCTGGTAAAATGTCTGCTGGAATGTCCTGTGAAGTGGGGGTAACCTTTAAGCCTGTGGTAAGTGCACCTGAGTGGCAACTTTGTCGAATAGGCTGAATCTTTGCCAATGACGTGGCTGGGGGGATTGTGTTTGTTTTTTAGGTAAATGAAAATCTGGAAGGAGAAGTCATGTTTATGGCCCAAACAGGATCCTTCTCAGTTCCACTGAAATGTACAGCCAAGATGTGCATTGTAAGTGACTGTTTAAAGTCAGAGTAACAGCAGAAAATGCAAGACAGCATAAACGTTATTGCAAATATTTACCAAGAGGTAGGCAGGAGAGCGCCCACAGCTGGCAATTATTGGACAGTCTTTGAACTGAGAACTTAAAAGTCCTATTCTTGAAAAAGTGCATGCTCATTTGATGGACATCACTGACTATCTAGGACAGTAGTAATTATTGGTTTCTCTTCTCACAGCTGGCACTAGATAAAGTGCTTGTTGACTTTGGCACTCATGTGGTGGGAGAGACAATTTCACAAACCGTCTGCCTGACAAACACTGGAGCTTTGGGAACAAGATTCAAGGTTCAGACATCAGCAGGTGACAGCAGTAGATGTGGAGCAACAGCAGGATCTTCTACTACCAGAACAGTAGGTTCAACAGCATCACCCTAAATTAATCAATCCCATTTATAACGTGAAACAGTTACAAGAAAACACATCTCATTTGCAGCTCCTTGATGAAGTTGGAGCTGGATACAAGCTCAGTGATCAAAGTGATCAGATCAGTAGAAATTACTTTTTCCCAAATGTTTTTATTAGGTTACTCAACCATGCAGTGACTCTGCTCCTGAGAGGAAAGATAACAATAGTTCTGTAACATCTGTGCTTGAAAAGAAAGAACAAATTTGTCCTGATGGTAGTGAAGAACCAACCTGCTGTGTAGCCCAGGTGGAGCAGCAGAGGACTGAGACAAGTTCTACAGGTGAGCTGATTCTGAGAAACTGCAAGTGCAAGTTTCCCAGACTTAACCAAATTAAGTAGTTCATCATGCTAGTAGCAACGTTGCATCTCTTTGTATGCTGCCTCAACTCCAAGTCCTCCAGAGCTCAAAAAAAAAAGACTAAAAATAATGTACTGGCACCATTATATCAAAATCAACAGAGAATCTTGATCCTCATTAGTGATCAACAATTCAGCTTCAGAAGAATACAGAAACCAACTAGCTTGCAGAGACTGCAAAAATGTTATCATTTTTGTCTCAGCAACCAAATTCCCACCCCTCAGAAGAGAAATCCACATGACAGGTTTATTTTTATAGTCTTTAATTCTAGTAACAAGAAAACAGAAAGGTGAACCTCACAAGGCTTCCTTCTCATTCCTAATGTTTACTGTGTACTTTAAGAGATCCAATACCATAGAAGAAACACTTCTTCAAAATATGTATTGAATATTCTTGTGTATATTGATCATTTCCATGGCAGGAAACCAAACGTCCTGGACAAGGTGGTGGGTTCTTTTTTTTTCCCTGGAATCTCCGGAGTGAAAGTAATTAATGGAATCACTGTACCTGCCTCCACAGAATAACTTATTTCTAAATCTGTTTACAGACCAGAGAGGTCGTGGAGTTACCTCCTCTGGAGCTATTGAAAACCTGCATGCTCACAGCGCTGTGTGATGAGCAGGGGGATTTAGGTCACATCATCTCCAGAGGTCTCTTCCACCCTCAGCCATTTTCAGGCTTTTTTTTGCTTGCTGCTCTTTTTGATGCACACATCCAGCATTTTGTGGGTCTGTTAGTGTTGTTTTTTTCTTTCAGAACAACTTGCTCAAGATGCATTCAATCTCAGTTCAGATAAAGACACAAACAATGCACATCATTTAACGGAACACTCACCTGAAGAAACACCAATTGAAATTATGCTGGGAAAGGTAATGAATGCCCTGAAATACGTACAAGATTTTCAGTAGTCTAAGCCGCCTACATCAAGTGAATTGCTTTCACTCTGCTGGCAAATGTTGAAGTACATAATCAGTTTCAACCCTAGTGGAATCCAATGTTTTTACAGTTAATCAAAGAACCATAGAATGTCTTGGGCTGGAAAGCATCTTAAAGATCATCTAGCTCCACCTGCACTGCAGTGGGCAGGGTTGCCAACCACTACATCAGCCTGAAGTCAGGCTGCCCAAGGCCCAGCCAATCTGGCCTCAAAATCTCCAGGGATGGGGCATCACAAGTTCTGTGGGCAGCCTGTTCCAGCACCTCACCACTCTTTCAGTGAAAAATTTCTCCAGCATCTAATCTAAATCTCCTCTCTTTTAGTTTAAAACCATTTAGTTTACGTCCTTAAAATGAAATAACACATTTGCCTCTTCCTTCAGTCCATAAAGGGTCTGTGAGCTGGAGGAGACTTGCATTTCTCACAATTTCACTTTTCTTTTTGTCAGATTGATTATTCTCCTGTCATTTCTTTGTTATGCAACATCTAGTGACAACACGAAAGGCGGGGCAGGAAGAATGTGCCACATTAAATAATGCAGAGATAAGAGTTCAGAGAGTAGTTCTTAGTATTTATGGCTTCTGCCTGTCTGTGAAAGAGCACTGAATTCAGTGGTGCAGATCTTTGAATGGTAGCACAAAGCAGCTTCTTCGTGTATTTGTTACACCAATATGAATTATTCACCAATATGATGGAAACTCTTTGGTAAAATACATAATCTACCTGTCAGAAAACTCTTGCAGTAAAAAGGAACTCTCTCAATAAGATTCTGACCATGTCTGCCTGTGAAACCACACCATCCCAAGCTTTTTCCCCCAAAACAAACCTTGTAAAGACCACTGATCCATTTTTCCCTGTCATAGTTCATTCAGTCTAGTGAGAAACTAGGCATAGTGGCATGCTTGTACACTATGAGCATATACAGCTTCACTTCCATACATTTTTGTAGCCAACCACACTAAGAGAGGTTCTGATTAAAAATGTGTTACTTCCTGTTTAGGTTACTGAAGGTGAAATTGGACCCTTCAGCTCAGTCAAACTTCAGGTTATATTTATGCCATCCATCCCTGGGGACGTACGGGCAGAGTTTGTGATTGTGTTTGACAACACAGACTGCAAACCAGTGAGTGATTTTGTGTAAGACTTGCTTCAAAGGCTGTTGAAACTCTGCTTCTGCTTCTACCAAGAATTACAGGAGTGCAAATCCTGTACTAAAAGCAGGAGAAATGGACAGAGGACAAATAGGTTTACAGACATAAGAAATAACAATGAGGTAACCTATGATAAACAGTAAGAAGCCTTGTAAATCAGGACTCTTCTTTCTGATGGACTATGGTTGTTAAACCTGTAGATTCTCTCATATTTCTACACAGCTGTTTATCAGACACCCTGCTGGAAAACATCTCTTGTCCTGTATATAAACCTGAAATTCTTTTCTTCTGTTCCCAACCCATGCAGTTTATTTTCTTTCTGATATATCAGCACTGGAATTACTTAGCACCAAGTAGTGAAACTGATGTGTGAAGGCTGGGACAGATGACAACTTCAGTTACCATTTCAGCATACTTTAATTCTACATTTCATTGGAAGCCAAATTCTGCCTGGGAACACTTCACAGAAGCTTGCCAAAAATAAAAAAATTTAAAAAAAAAAAAAAAAGAAAGAAAAAAAGAAAAAGGAAGAAAATCTTCCAAGCTCAGTAGGCCAGTCTTGGCTCTCCCCACAGTCTACAGATGGAATAGTCTACAAAAGAAACTGCAGATGCATACTGCACATTCCTGTGGGTACCCTTTCTTTCAGCTCTGGCAGGGAAGGATCATTTTTGCCCAAGTCTGAGCTATGTAGCTGCTGAAATTTAGACTCGAGGTCATTATGTGGACTATAGCACCACACTGCCCTTTTGTATAAACATGCTGCAGTCTCCTGACTTTCTGAATGCTTGCACATTCACTTAACTCTTCAACTACTTATTTCCAATTTCTTGGGCAGCACGTTATTCCTTCACATTCTCTGGAAAGGAGTCCAAACTAAAATATAATTCATTTCTGTTCTGGTACACAGTAAGATCTAGGTTTTATTTTATAAATTCTATAGCTTTGTTTAATTAAGGTACCTTTAACAAGTACATATTTTAGCTGTAGGTTATAGCTGTTTAGATCAGTAACAATTTGAGACTAACAAAAATAAGTATACTCTTGGTTTGTATTAACAGCTGTACTTCAGTGCCATTGGAGTCTCTATTGACGTGCCAGTTTGGGTGCCCAATCCCAACATTGATTTAAAAATCTGTATGTATGACAGACTTTACCAGGACTGCGTTGTCATCCGGAGCAGGTGAGCTGCCTTCCACAGCTGGCTGATGAGATCTTAAGTCACCAGGCGATACCTCGGGGTCTGCTGTACCAGAGACATCTGGGTATCACAGCAGGCTGAAGAACAGTTTTGCACTTTTTATTTTGCCTTGGTGTTCCAGTAGGACATCCTGATTACAAGCCCTCTCAGTTTACACTGCTGTGGAAATTAGACTTGGGTATACTGCTATCCTAGATTCCCAAGAGCAGCAATAGCTGTGAAGCGTATGAGTTAATACACATCTTTCCACTCCTACAAGGTTCCTTGTGCTGTGCCTGTTCTGTGATAGAGCTGTTAAGTCCCCAGGGAATAGCAGCCCCAGTGAGTTTCATCACAGGGAACTGCAAGCTAAATATTAGGGAGATAAATGTGCCTAAAACTGAGTGCTGATTGGGTATAACTGATTCAGCCAAAGAACTTTCTGACAGAATGATCTGGAAGCCAGCTTCATGCCAACTGTTCCTTTCTGAGAAGGTCGGCCACCAGTCTCATAGACACGTGCAGTGATGCTGAATAAATCAAGTCAGTCCTTTTGCATTTCCTGTGGCATAGGAAAGATGCAACCTTTCCTGAGCCATACAGGAATTAAGAACTGCACTGGAGTGGCAGATACTTCAAAGTAACCAGATAGTGATAAATTATGAATTATACTGATTACCCAGATATTTTTTGTACATATGTATTTCCATAGTTTGCATCAATAATGTCTGAAGATTCCTTCTGTTTGCACTGTAACAGAAGGACAATATTTCACCCATTTGACTCCCAGACGTTTCTTGCTGTAACGTTCTATTATGTGAACTCTTTCTCTACTAATTGCCTTCAGGTCTACCTTGGATATCTTTACCTAATGCAAACATTATGAAACACTTAGCATTCCTATTTCACCAATCTGCATATCTTAGATTCTATTTAAACAAGATTGGGGTGGTTTTGTGGGAGGGTGGGGGAGACTGGTTCTGGAGAAGGCAACCATTCTAAACCTCTTACCAGAACTACAGACTGCACAGATTCTTCACAGTTGGAAAGAAATGAGTAAAGCTGTTATCTCAAAAATTCAGCCTACAGATATGAGAAGCACAAGTTATGTAAGGGGTTTTACTCGGTGAAGATAACCCAGGGATAAAAGTTACAAGCATAGAAGAAAAATAACTATCCTAATGAAAACTAAAGATTTCAAAGGGCTCCAAATATAGAAGCTGTCAAATTGCTTAGGCCAAAATTTCTTAACTGAGAAAACTTTATCAACTTCCCCTAAATTATAAGCACTTCATACGTATTATGCTGTCCTTAGCGCCTTGGCAAATCAAGTCTTCAATTTATCCCCCCCACCTCCTTCGTTAGGAAAAACTGTCTCTGTTACACAGTCACCAGTGCTGAAATTTCAAGTATCACACGTGCAAGAATGTTCTGTCTCAAAATCTGCCAAAGTAAATAAATGGAATCATTCCGTTAGATGCAATGCCTGGCAGATCTCTTCCTCCACTGGCCATTACAGTTTTTCTGTTGCTTGTATCAGAAAGTTTTCAAGTTAGGTAAATAGCTCTGGTACTTGAGCTCTCCCAGCCAGCTCTGTAGCATTACTAAATATTAACTTTTTTCTTTCTGGTCACATAGAATACAGTGATTGGGAAGCATAGATGTGCAGCATAAAGGGTGAAAGCATTTCACCAGAATCCTCTCAGATATAAATCACTTTGACAAGTAATTTCACTGGCAAGTTATAATCTGCACTGACTTAAAGAACTACTATGTAGTTCTCTTAGATTGTCAACAGTCAGCAATCCTTCCAAGCTCCCAGCACCTCACGCTGCAATTGTTGATTTAGAGCAGGCCATCTGGACTGACAGCTTGTAAACCAGTCCAAGAGAAGGAAAAAGACGAGAGAAATGTTTGTAAATTGATTGGCAATTCTACATGCAGGCATAAAATTCCAAAGCAGGGTATGGTTTGTGGCTATCACCCGATTGCAGTGTGGCCAGAATTCAGAAAACAGGGAGATGCTCACACGGTGTTTAGATATTCTTGGCCCCACGCAGCAGTTGCTGGTCTTCATTTTTCTGCTTCTCAGACAGAAGGCAGAGTAAGTTTTTCATTGCTACATTCTGCCTGCTGCCAGTCGTTACTTAACAGAGTTCCTGCCTCACCAGAGGACTGTGCCTTCTCCTTGAGCAGGCTCTGTGCTGCAGTCAGCACCAGTCAGATGCCTCAAACGCTGCACGAGTCATTTCTACTGGTTCAGATAGAGAGGATGTATTTTAGCAGCAAATAATTAGCTGGTATTTCACAATAATTTGGCTTTGACTTTCCACTGACCTGACTTATCACTGCGCTGCACTTTGATAATTATGTTCCAATCAGCTGTGTACATTTGCCTGAAATACAGCTGGGTTTACTTACAGTAATTCCAAAATCTTGTTTTCTATACTTAACTTAAAAGAATGCAAGTGTGTGATTTTGCTGTAGCAGTTTCACTTGCCCTTCATTTTCAAAGGAAGCTTGCAATAGTTATAATTGTAATGTAGAGCAGAGATGCAAGAAGGGGAGGGAGGAACAAACTGCAAGAGCAAATGTTGCCGAGATGGCAGCACCAGTAGCCCTTGATGCCACTTGAGCTCATCTGATCTGTTTGCAGAGCAAGAACTACGCTGCATTTGAAGTTTGAAGTATGCAAAGAATTGAGCAAACACATGAAGCTGCTTCCAAAAACAGGTTACATTCAACCTCAGTCATCCTTCAGTGTGCAGTTGAAGTTTCTGCCCAGGTAACCCAACAGCATTAATATTTTTGCCATTTAAATAACATCAGTAGGAGGCAGTGCAAAATCTGAGCAAATCAAGTATTTTTTCCTTCCTTCACCTGATGTCTGTAGCAGGCTGGATTTCACACTGCTGGTGTCAGCTCAGTCCTACTCTCCCTTCTCCCTCTTTAAAAGATGCCAGATGCACAAAGAGGAAATTAACTTGGATCGCATACCTACTAGGAAGTGCTTTTCCTGCAGTGACAGCAGCAGTGTCAAAATCCTAGCAGTTGCACTCCTGCTAGACTGCTTCCATTTCTGTGGGGAAGCTATTCTTACACACAAGAGAAGTTCTCTAGGCAGGTGGCTACTTCACGGATCAGTGATTAAATCATTTCTGGACAAGCACTCCTGTCTTGGTAGGTAAGGTAGGAATGGCTGGACTTCCTGTACATATCTTACCCAGGTACATTTTCCCTAAAATGTGAACACAATGATTTTGAATTTCATGTAGGAATTCATACAACATCTTCAGAGATGCTAAAAGCCTTATCCCAGCAAGTTTTGTCTTTTCTACTTCACAATATGTCTGTGTACAAACATAATTCAGTCACAGAAACAAAGAATGCCATTTTTTTCATAGTTATATATTTGGATTTTCACTGATGTTCTCAGCATCTCTGTAAATCAGACCCAATTCCAAAACGAGAGACTAAGCATTGGCATCAGAGTCCTCAGCAGGTTATTTAGCATTCAAGGAACTAGAAGTATTTACACTTCTTCCAACATATCAAATCCTATCAGGTGGCTGTAACAATAACCACTATCATGACATTCTTCCATTCCTAAATTTCAGATGCTGCAAAGCACTGTTATACTTACTGAGTGGATAGAAGCATAGCTTGGATTTAGAAAATTAATCTGCCTTTTGAAAAATGAGGAAGCTTCAGAAAGGAGATTTGAAGAGATTAAGGCTTTTCTGACACACAAAATAAGTATCTGGCTGTTTCAGTATATAGATCATTTTAAAAGGCCTAACACACTGGTGAGTGTGTATGACAGAAGATGAGCTTGCTCCAAGCTGATGTTAAGTACTGAGCTAGTGACACATTTCTGTAAATGCCTGCTCATCGACTTAAGCTCAGTTTCCTCAGGAGAAAAAAGAGCTCTATTAAAAGCAACACAAGTGAAAAGAAACACTCATTCAGCGAGGCTAAGTGAGCAGATAAGATGACTGAAGGCTTGGGAAGCTCCCCCAGGTATTCCATGCACACTGAAATGCATGGTCAGATGTTACAGTGCTCACATAACTATCTGGGTGCTAGAAGCAAAGACCTATTTTCTGCTCATTTGAAGGCAAATTCTCTAATCTGCTGACTTTCAGCATTCCCAAATACAGCACCTTCTCCTTTTTTTTTGTATTTGGAAGTAGTCCTGCAGATGCTGGCAGTCTAAATCTGATTGGTCTCTCATGCTTTTCCTTAATGGCTTTAAAGCACGAAGATGCTGTTTTCAGAAAACGGTCCAAAGGATTTCAGTGTCTCTTCCCCAGGGCACAACAGCTACTTTAGAACTGTGTACATACGATGACAATTATTATGTTTTCCCCCAGGATCATTTTGTAACACGTGAATTCCTTCTGCTATTCTAATGTCCTGTGACAGAGTGGAAGCTGATACTTTATTCCTACTTTATTTTTATCTCTGTGTTCTATTTTTGAACAAGTTAGCAATCACATCTCAGGCTTGCAAAATAAAAGCCAGCAACATCTCAGATCAGTATGATGATCGTGAATGGGTGCTATTTATTTTTTAACTATCCTTTAATAATACATTAAAAAATTGCAAGCAATTCCAATAGTAGTAGTAGGAATATTATCACTGTGAAGTCCTAAAAACAGGAAGCAACTCGCTCTGGTGCTGTAAGACACCATAAATAGACCAGCAGAGCTAAAAATGTTAGCTTTTGTATTGTCTTGGCTTGACGCTCTGAAATTAAGCTTACGATAGCAAGATGCTGCAGCAACAGAGCACACGCCTATTACTTGTAAATGACTAATCTGGTACATCATCAGACACCGTTGGTCTCCAAGTGTGTTTCACCTGATTGATGTCTTGGTGCTGTGTGATCCAACTGGTACTGCCTCAATTTACTGGTAATTAATTAGCATGGACGTCAAAAGGAAACGACTGCCCGGGATGGGTTGATTATGTGCTCTGGCTGCAGCAAAGATGCTGAAGCCTGATATTGTGTTTAGAAGGTAAACTTGAAATTGTTCAGAGTTGTAAATGACTGTGTTTATAAGAAAGCATAAATGGCTGCAGTTTTCTGTAAATAGCTCCCTTAAACTCCCGTGTGCCCCAAATCCCATCTTTAAATAAATACAAAGAATCTGTCATTAATAAACACGGTCACTGATTCTAACCTCATTGCTGGACATCCCCGCAATCCATGCACCCCTGCTCAGAGCAGGCTGCCTGGATGTGTGCCATCCTATAGGAAATCTGTGACAACTCTACAACATTTCTCATTTGTGAAATTTTATCCTTTTGGATTAAAGGCAGAATTTCATAGGTCACTGTAATTTCTGGATGGTATTTTCTTCTGCCATTCTCCCTGATACTTGTATATGTAAGGCTTATAATATTTTAGTTAGAGCTAACTTAATGGAAGCACTGGAGCTGATGTTTAACCAACTCTGTATGCGAATACTCTGTAACATAAATGTGATGTGAAAAATAAAAGCTGTAAAGTGTGAACTTTTAGACCTTAAGTAACAGATATGTTTTTTCCTTTGGTTCAGAAACGCATCCATCAAAAGTTTATTAATCCCCTTAGCTCGAAAACAGTCACAATATTTTTATGAAGCTGAATGTAACTTTCTTTAATTTCAGGCACTCCCTCCCCGAAGACGCAGGGAGCTGTTTTAATGAAGAGACAGGTGTTCTGGAAGCTCCAGTGATGATACAGATTGCAGATAATGTTAGTTGCTGTGGGTTTTTTTGTCCTGTAGATCTATTATTTTAGCTTATGTTCACTCAGTGATACCTAACTGTAGCAGCAATGCTGAGTCATGGCTGGCAGTGATGGAGCACCTGGCAGGGCCAGCCCAGGGGAGCTCAGCTGCATGCAATGCACTGAGTGATTGGAAGGGCTGGAGCCAGGATCCACCCCTTCCCAGCCCTCATTTAAGGGCTGGCAGTGGAGGCCAAGGGATTTTGCTGGAGATCCCTGTGTGCTTGAGGTCTTTAGAAGGTAAGCAGCTTCTTTTCCTTTGTTTCTGTGCCCATGGCTGTTGCAATTGAGCAAGTCCTCATTTACTGCTGTATGAGATTTTGCTGCTCTGTTGTCATTGCTGTGCTTTTCATCACGGTGCAGTGTTACAACTAACCTTGCTTTACGACTGAAGTCCTATGACAACAGCAAAAGCCATTCTCAGTGATGATATAGATTTCATGATGTTTTTTTTTCTTGTCAGCATGTTTACAACACAATCCTTTGTAATTAGTGTTCGCTTATTACCTTCTAGTCTCTTCTGTAACAGAGCTCTTGTATTCCACAGTGCAATTTCTTCATTCTTCTTTCTACTGTTGTAACATATTCTTGGAATCCACGTTTTCTGGAGATGCAGATGTGATTCCATTATAGCATACAGAATTTCAGATGGCTAAAAGGGTGGTTTTTGGCAATTTTGCTTCCTAACCTTTTGTGGTTTTCTTTTCTGATGACGTTTCACTTCAATTCTTTCCACATGATGCTGTGGATAGGAGTTTATATCCTTTGCTTTTGGATTTGTTCCAGACTAAACAAATTAATTTTACTGTCCATGCAATTGTTACTACTTCTGACTTGGAAATCAGTCCAGCAGAAATCAATTTTGGGTACTGCACCATCTATGAAGCTGTAAGGACAAATGTCACGCTAACCAACAAGTCCATCTTGCCACAGGAGTTTGGATTTGTGAGACTCCCAGAGGTAGGTTGTTATCCTGAATGCACCTCTTCTTGTATTATAACATATCTAATTATTTAGGAATTGTATTTCAATGCAAGAATGAATAAATCAGAACTGGTTTCTGGAAACCAGTGGAAATATTAATCCTGATTAATTCTGAAGGCTGGGGCCACTGGATGATTTTTCTTCTCAATTTTTGAGTAAACAAAAGTTGTTTAAGCTTCACAATATCATGATGACTGTAATAGGGAACAGCTTGGCATATTGGGGTTGGAGCTGGAAGGGATGTGACTTTTTATTAAATGTTGTCCCTTTCTCTGCTGTTTCAGCAATTAAAATCAAGTAGTTGGAATATTTAAAAGGCTTTTTTAAAACACAGCTGCACTTTCCAGGATGTGTTTCACGGTTAAACTGTGATGGGAAGACATTCCTGAATCATTACTAACTCATAAACACAGAGCAATACACATATGTAGATGCTGACCTTGTGTCCTCGTCATTGTGGTACCTGCACAACACAAGTATCCCCTCTTCAAGTGCAGAGGGAAGCAGTTGAGATTTTTATCATGCTTCATTCAGTTGTCCATGAAAAGAATAAATAAGCATCATTGGAGAAAGGTGATTACTATTGATGGTAACAACCTAAGGGAAGAGATTCTGCTGAAATATGAGTTTATGGGTTTAAATTTCTGCTTTTCAAGCTACTGTAAGAATAATAAAGCACACATCAGTCAGATCCTAGGCACTGTAACTCAAATGAAAGCTTCTTGATTTGGGTTCCTGACATTTGTGGATTTAATAACAACATTTGTATCTAACTTTCTGAATTTATTATTATAGTAATTTAATTAAATAAGTAATATAGCTTTATTTGATAACTTATTATCCTAACAATTATTTCTTATCTTGCTACTTTAAAGTTTGTTGAAATTCAGCCTAATGATGGATTTGGAGTTCTTCTTCCTCTTGAAAGTCTGACATTGCACGTAGTCTTTAAAGCCAACAAGGCAAAAGAGTACAGCTTTGAACTGACCTGCAAGTCAGAGCTTAATAGGTATGTGAAGAAACTGCTTGAGCAACGTGTAGTTCAGAAGTCATAATCACACTTAATTTCTACCATTCACGTAAGCCTGTCCAGTAACAAAATCCCCCTCACTATGCAGAGGTGATGCTAGGATAGAGCTGTGAGGCAGGTATGGATTCAGCTGACAAGAGTTGTTCATTGCCATCAGTTTCATCCTTAGTTTGTGTCTCATTTGCAAGCTGCTAGCTTCCTTCAGGTGTTAGCCTGCAACGTTTTGCTTGCTTTTTCAGTAGAATTACTAAAGTTTTCCTTAATTATTAGGGCTTTTTTTTTTTTTTTTTTTTGTCAAAAATGCTTCATGCATTAAGCTATGCTACTAAAATAATGATGACAAAAATATGATTAGACTGGATGTATTTCTTCATAGAGGAAGAATTCAAGTATGGTTCATTAAAAACAGTATTATTTTCCATCTTTATGCAAAATTTCCATTGTAAGCTTGAGAAATTCTTCTTAAATAGGGACTACAAGATCAGTTTCCTATTTTTGGGGCTGATGAAGAGACTATTTTATGCTGAAACAATTTATCATGTGTTTATTTTTAGACAATTCAAGTTGTCATGCAGAGCAGTTGGAGTCCACCCACCTCTTGAATTGTCTCATTCCTTAGTTCAGTTTGCTGCAACAGCTCTAAATGATGTGTCTACAGCAACACTGTATGTGATGAATTCCCATGTGAGTGCCAACCTCTTTACTCATGCAGTCCCAAGAATTGGCAGTGGGGAAGTTGCCCCTGTTGGACCCACTTCGTTTGAATTCTACGTGCCAGAAGACTGTCCTGTGACAATCACGCCTTCTGTTGGAACTGTGTTGCCTGGGAAGGTACGTTCATTTTGAATGTCAAGTGTTCAAACACGTCTTTTGATCATCTACATCCCTGCAAGTTCTGTCACTTGCAAATGATGTTGAAAAGAAATTATTAGCATAGTTGGAAGACTTCACCTGGAATAGTTTTAAATTGGACTTAAGGTTAACCATCAAGTCTAGTTTATGGGAGCTGTCCCCAAGTGTTCTTTCCCCAGTGCTATCACTGTTACTTATTTGAGGAAAGTTTAGATACCAAAAGTGATGGCCATGTAATACCAGCCCACTGGGATGCAGTGGACTTCAGAAAAGCTGAAAGTGACCTTAATAAGTTTGTCTCATTAGAGGAGAAAAAATGTTTTGCTGTCAGATATATGCTCCTATCAAGCTCTGTAGGTATAACACATGTATGAGGGATGAATTCTGCCTATCGTTCTTGTGTATGTTCCCTCTTTCCCAGAAAAGCTTGATTCAAGTGTCCTTCAGACCAACATTGTCAGATCAGCTAATCAGAGAAGAGGCAGCTCTGAGGCTTTGTGAAGCAGCTGCAACAGGGGCAGAAATACAAGTAAGGAATGCTAAGAAGCAGCACGTGCTGTTGGTCTATTACTTCCAGATATTTGTTTCTCTAAATGGTATTTTTATCACAAAATTATTTCCACGTTGAAGTCCAAACTCCTGATTGCTGTAAGACCTGCCTTACAGCACTGCTGTACAGGAGGGCACTGCTGCACTTATTGCTCAGTGAACAGACTGCACATCAATTTTACTTCACTACCACATTTTCATTCTTATAGGGTTTTATTAACAGTTAGCTTATGTCAGCACTGTGGTTTGCTTGATTATGAGGTCAATAGCTAAAATTGCCCGTTTTACCTGAATGTTATTAGAACTGTTTGTAATAACTACTGCATCTGTGACCTGTTACCACAGTTCTGTTACCTTGCTTCATACCCTGCAGGGCGCTGCCTCTCAGGTGATTCTTGGGCCAGGGACTGAATATTTGTAAACAAATGCCTTGATTGCATTGTATGTGATTGGTATTAGTGTGCAAGTTTGCTGTGTGTTTGCAGAAAAGGAAGACAGATGAGAAGAGAGAGGGAAAGAAATTAAGTGTTCCCATTTCCAGACGGCAGTCTTCCAGACAGGTTGTAAGGACTGGGAGTGCTAAATACCTGAGTTCTTCATATAAATCCGAGCAACCAGAATCCAAAGAGATAAAGTCTGAGTAAGTCAGCAAAAGCGTCTTCTATTAACTAAACAAATTTTCTTTATAAATCTGCTGAACCTACATGTGGAGAAAAAGCCAAACCGTAGTGAAGAAATAACTTCAGTTCTATTGCAAATGCTGCTTCCAAAATTAGCACTGCTTTTACGCCACGCAGCTGTAACCTCTCATGTGAGGCAAAGAATCCTTTTATATGCACCAGAGAAATAGAAGACTTCAAAGAATCTATCAGAAAGCATGAGCTGTGGCTGCCCTGGTAGATGTGGCTGGGGATACAAGTGTATCATCTTAAGGGGCAGCTCCACAGCTGAACCTTGCTGCCAGTGGAAATGACTGAACAGTGCACCTTTTCTAAACAGGTCTGACTGAGCTGTACGGATTCAGCCCAGCTGGAAGCTGTCCATTCTGGTGTACTGAGTGATTTAGTGTCACTGCTATGCTGTATTTTGAATGTCTAACGAAGAAAATATAAGTGCAAATTGCTCAGTGGGTATCTTTTGATATTTTTTTCTCTTCCTTTCTCTCTTACTGAGATTATTGTTATTCCTGGCTTTTCTAGCTCAGAGGCTTACATAGCAGCGCAGACATTCCTGACAAGGAATTTCAGAGGAAGGTTTGAAAAATACACCATACCATGCTTTGTTGCAAGTGGAGATATTGATGAGAAGAGAGGCTTGGAAAGTCTAAGCTTCAGGTATTCCCCACACACACGACTTGAAGTGAGATCTTTGCAATTCTTCATATTTCAGGAGGTTTGCAGGGAAGTGGTAGGCAGGTTAATTTATTCCTTTGGTTTATTTTCAGAATTGCTTCATAGGTCAGTGGTAGAAATACATGCTCACAGCCTGCTAGTTGGGTAAGAATCTAACATGCAAGTAGGAAAGCAGCTTAGAGAACAATTGTGTGAAAAATGTCATAGCTTGATGTCCTCCATCTTTCTGTGGAGGCAACGCACAAAAATCAGCCACTAAAAATTGTTTTCTTCTGTAATACCAGCTTAATGATACTGTTGTGTGAACAGAACAGGAACAGATTTCTGATAATTGCTTTTTGTCTGTATAATTTTAGAACAAATATCCTTTTACTGTCTCCCCAGCCCTTATAACACCTTGTATTTGGAGCTGCATTGTCCAGCTGTAGCACCATCTGTTGTGGTCACTTCAGATAATGGAAGAAACACGGTCGATTTTGGTGATGTGGCAGTAGGTATGAAATCTGAATTAAAACACTGAGCTTTTTTTGTCTTTAATTTCTTCTGGTCGTAGTTTTGCATTTTCTTTTTATTTTTAATAGATTTTTTGAATGTCAGTATAGAAATTAGCCCTGTGAAAGGTATTCAGGTGGAAAATCAGGAGCCTATCTGGACCTCTGAGGCATGAAAAAAGCTAACTTGATACTGAAATGTGGAATCAGGAGCTGGGCAATACTGTCCAAATTTGAAGCTTTAAATGGACTCTTATTTGTTAACCATGGAAGTGGAATGAATGTTTGACATGGGTAGAAACATGACTGAAATGAATTGATTGTGTTGGGAGTAAGCTTCATCATGCTTTTAAATTTCATTTTCACTCATAACAGGCCAAACAATACTGAAGCAAACTACGTTACAAAATATCTCCCCAGAAAAGCTGGAAGTATCCTTCCAAAAAGGAAAAGCTGTTCATTTTGAGCCTTATCTGTAGGAGCAGTTCAGTGCTCAAGGAGGAGATTCCTCGAGTCTCGCTCTGAAATCTGGTGACACAAGAAGTGCGTTACCAAGAATATTTAACCGATTTATCCTTCTTTCCTCTTCATTATTGATCTCTCACATTTGTTTGGAGATGGATGGTTTACACTTTATTTTTTTTGCCAGAACAATGCTTACAAGCTGCTCTTCTCTCTCTTCCCAGTGCTTGTTCATAAACTTTTTTCCTTGAGTTGCACTTCTTTAGCTACGATTCTCAGTTCTGAATCCCAGCGGTCCCTTCCTGTTGGTCAGACCAGTTAGGATGCTTGAGCCAGGTGAAATCAGAACCCTCGTCATCTCTTTTTCTCCAAATGAGGACAAATTGGTGAGTAAGGAGATGTGGGGCAAAAGAGGGAGACATGAAGGGCCACATCATATATATGTTCTGCTGACTAGGTGTGTCTGTATAATAAGAAAACTCTGGCTGTGCACGGCCCCTTTTCAACATCTGGATCGTTGTGCACTGAATTCAGAAGTTCTGTAGTAACAGCCACCAGGGGCTGGGGGTGCAGGGCAGGAGGGTTGGGGTGGCTGGAGGGGAGGCTGACCTGGAAGCCAGGCAGTGCTGCTGAGGGTTGTGGGAGTGTTTCCTTCAGCAAACGGGCTGATACAGACATCTCCTTGGCAGTTCTTTGAAATGCTGCACGTCCAGACTGTAAAAAACAACTTGCCACTACGGATCACTGGTTATGGGGTGACGCCATCAACGGTTTGCTCTGTGGAAGAAGTACTTGATATGGGCTATGTCCTAACCAGTGAGAAGGCGACGTCCACGTTCAAGGTAAAGCCCTCAGTACTGAACCAAGGAAGCATATCAACAGTTTCTATAGGTAGGATGAAGAGTACTGTAGTTCCCAGACTGGTGGAACACAAGCTATAGACAAAAGAGCGGAGCTTTAAAGGCATACATGGCAGAATGAGTTGGGCTGAAGGTAACAGGACTGTGCAGAGAGGATTGTGTTAGCTGGTTCTGTGCTGCCTGCAGGGTTCTGCCTATGTAATATATAGGGATGTGCTACCTTCTATGGAAGAGAAAGGGCCTGTTTCAACTCTTCTGTAGATCTAGCCATTATGTAGAGTGTATACAATACTGTAGTACAGCAACATAAATTCAGCCAGTTTACAAAAAAACAGCTCCTACAGGACTGAGAATCTATTTACTTCATAAAAATGCTGTTGTGTAAATTCATGTTATCAGATACAGAACACTTCCATGCTGACCCTGCAATGCTCCATTCATCTGGATTCATTTTCATCCACGAGGGAGAAAGATCAGCAGAGGATTCCATCCTTTCTTATGTCCTCTTTACAAGGAGCAGAGATTGCTGGTAACTTTCACACAGTATCTAATAGCAGCAATGCTTTGTCATGTTAGACTTATACAACTCTGTCAAAACCTGGGGCCTCACATGGCTGAAATTAAAGGCAGTTTTGTCTCCCCTACAGGAGCTGTACTGAATCTGTCAGTGTAGGTAGCTGTAAGTCTATGCAGCCTGAGCAGATATTCAGAAGGAGACACCGGTGTTTGAATCTAAATAAGCCCATAGAGTGTTTTTAAATTAGAGCATATTCTGGGATGTCCTTCCCTGTAAGAAAGATGTGGAAGGATATAGGAAGGGTTTGATGATGCCTCTTCAGCTCCACTGGAGATTAATGCATCAAACTGATAAATGGACTTATCTACAATTTGTAATGCTCTGTTTTGCTGCAGAACCATTTATCAGATTTCATTTTCTTATAACAAAAATGAAATGGGTTTAAAATACATGTAGAACTAAAACTGAACTGTCCTCCTATCTTACACACGTCCTGGTTTTCATTTACCAGGATCAGAGAACTACAATGGTTTAAGTGTGTTCAGTGTCCTTCCTACAGAAGGAGAAATTCTTGCTGGAGAAAGCCAGGACTTTTCTGTTACTTTCAGTCCTGAGCGTGAAGGTCTGTACTACTCTGAGTGTCTCAAGGTTGTGCTCTTTGGCAAGGTAAGGCTACCAAGATTTTATCAGTATGGATCTTAGTAGGGGTTGTAAATAATTGTATCTAGTGGACAGGATTTATAGGCTGAAACACTGCCCTTATCAGATTAACTGATATAAATAGGAAATGGCAGGCTTGGGGCCCACCGACTTTCTTCAGGTTTTAAATATTCAGTTTCTCATTTGTGACAATTGTAACTTCAGTCCTGTGCACAGCGTGAGCACAGCGAGGTGATGGGAGCTAGCTTGCTGCCACGCTGCTGAGCACTGCTCCAGCTGGGCTCTCTGCAAGTAGTAGTTAATTGTAGAAGGGAGCAGAGCTATGCAGCACAGTGCAAACTGGCAGGTGCACCAAGTACCAGGAAGCTGCTTCTGCATTCTCTCAGCGTGAGGGATGAGGCTTCCATCTGTAGAGCAGCAGTTGAGCTTAGATGGAGCCCAAATCAGGACACACAAGCTGGCAGCATGGCAGGTAGCTTTATGCCATGGTCCAAAAGAGGCTAACCAAAAGTTAAGGAAGGGTGACCACTAATGACCATCAGCATGCACTGCAAACTGCGTGGAAATATAGTGACTAAGTACTGTTTCTCTCCTTCCATGTTTTGTATTCCTAGATTATATTTTGGAATTGCAGGTAAAAAGAAAATCAGAATAAAATGAATAAAGGCTGGTTCAAGTTTATTAACTTTAAGCTGAGTTTGGCTTTACTGTAAATAGTTATTCCAGTCCCTTCTGAGGCACACAGCCTAAGAATGAAAGCTTTAAAACAAAAGTGCTTGAGCAGACGAGACAAGGGGAAGGTACAGACTTCTTGTGCTATTGTCTGGTAACTCCTGGCACTGAGGGTAAGCAGATGATACTGTTCTTAAGCAACTGAGGCTGTTCTGTGTTCCAGTTACACTGGTGCTTAAGCTGTAACCTGTATCCAAAATATTCTTGTCCCATATAGAAGACTGCCCATGTTCTCCAGCTTAAAGGTGCAGCAAGAGATCATCCCATGTTTGTGGAAGGTGGAATTCCACTAGATGTGCCCATTGAGTCCTTGGCTGTAACATCACCTCTGTCATCAAAGAAAGCACTAAAAGAAGGTAGTGTGCTGCCACTTTGTTTTTTACAGAACAGTGAGCTATAAGCCATAGGCATGTTCCTTGTCTTTTGAGAGAAAGCATGCTAAGGATAACCTTTTGACAGGGAGAACAAGATTTATGGTATAACCTATATTCATAACCCCCCCTCCAAATCTGTCTGAAACTTTCTCTTAAGGTTTTATCTGAGTTCTAATGCAGTTGAATCCTAATGAAGATCATATGTCTTTGCAACTTACCTTGTAAATATCTACTGTAATTTAATACTAATACAGAGAACTAAGCTGTATTGATTTTTCTGCCACTTCTCTGGCATGCACTAAATTTTTACAAAATTGTTTCATGTGTTCAGCATATACTGGATTTTCCTGATTCTACTGCTATGGAATAGACATGCTTTCAGGGGTTTGAACTTATTCTCAAACTTTACTTGATTCATGTTTCTTTAGAGCTGCAAGAACCAGTGAAGTCCATTCTCCTGCTTCTGGAGCACATGGAGGGAGAGAATGCCCTACTGCCAGCAGTGACAGAACTGAAAGTTGGAGCTATACAGACAGCTCAGTTTGCATCTAAGAAGGTGAAGAAAATGCAGTCTTGTATGAGATGCTGTTAAAAATACTGGTAGAGTGCAAGTGGTTACGAGTGCCTTCTGTCAAGAACTTGTTCTCCAAATTAAAAATGACTCTCATATTTTTCTAACAAACTTTACACAAAAACATTGGTGAAAGAAAATAAAAGATGGATTTTCAGGGGTTGATAAGAGGCATTAGCATTATGTTAAATTAGTTTTAATAATTTCCTTCTCTAATTCTGAAATACAACAGTTTGAGCACAGAACTGAATTGCAGTTCTGGTCCTCATTTTAGTATTGTTTTATGATTTCTTGTGACAGTGAACAAGATGGCTGTTTTCAGTTTCAAATGGCAGAAGTAGCTTGGCAAACAATAGGGCTCCATGTAGTATCCTGGCAAATTAAGTGAACAAATGGCTATTATGTATAAAGAGATTGAGTTGACTGTGAGGGAGGCGTGTTGTGTTTCTTGCAGAATGTGGAGTTCAGTTTTGATAACCTGTCACACCTCCAGAAGAAGGGATTTGCTATTGAACCTGCGAAGGGAAAAGTTGATCGTGGTCATGTAAAACGCATCAGCGTTTGTTGGGTGCCACCTGCTGACTTTGATGTAAGTAACAGTTGCGCATGGCTTCTTAAACCGCCAGCACTGCAGCTGTGTTTTCACTGACTTAAAGGGTCAATACAAAAGCTGCTTTGACACATTAAGATGCAGGAACAAAAGCCAGTAACTATATACGTATGATTTGAAGGCTTTCTATCTCATCTTTGACTTCCATTCATCTGTGTGATGAGAACAAGCATTAGTCACTTGCACTTCATAGGACTTAAAATAAATTCTTACAGACCACTGCATTGTACAGTGCCAAAATACTGCTCCTGTTCACCAAAGGATGCTGCTTTGTTCGCATCCATGAAGTGACTTTCTTAATGCTCCTTTTCTAAAGAAACCTGCAGTCCTGCTGATAGAGAACTATGTTTCCATGGATCATTCTGCCACAGTTTCACATTTGTTTTAAAGCCTGGGTACCTTTTCTTTTGGTATATTCCTAGAAGTCAGTGGGACCTGTTTCATTTCTGCTTTATGAACTGCTTAATGAACCTTGTTTCCCTGGTATCTCCTGCTTTTTTTGTATTGCAGTCTTAGTACAATTTCAAAACAGCCCTAAGGATGTAAATGCCCTTTCAAATTAATCTTCTTGTGTACTTGTGGAGACTGAAAGTATCCACTCTGCTAATTTTTGTTGTCAGCAGTGTGTGGGACGGCAGAATGAGCGGCCTAATCCAAAATTAAAGGGATGCTGTCATTGCTTGGAAAGAAGGCAGTAAAGATCCTGGCACGACATACGAGGCTGACATCGTTCTTCTTGGCAACCACTAGTTGTTACACAAGATTGAATGCTAAATCATGGCTAACGGGGTTCACTTCTTTCCTAACCCTCACTGCAGCATGCTCTGTTGCTGCCTTGCCCAGTTGTCATGGGTGCAATGTGGTGACAGCATCCATAGTGCTCTGTGGATAGAGCACTTAGTCTGCTTTGTTCACTGCAGTGTGAACGTTGTGTGAAGACAGGAAGCAATCAACCAAGAGGAAAAAGAGGTGACTTATGGCTATAAGGGGTGCATCTTACACCTGAGCTGAAAAACAGTTTAGAATTTGATTGACTCATCTTTTCAAATCTACAAAAGAAATAGGTTGATTCTGTGTGTGTGTTTTTTTTTTTTTTCTTTGTAGGCCAGTGCCCCCCTGGTTGAGACAGCCTTCCTGAACTTAAAAGGTGACATAAAGGAATCTTACCGAATCCTCTTTGTGGCAACAGTTATATCTGCTCCCACTGGCTGAGGGCCTGAAGCTATGTGGAAGGTGAACACTTAATATTTGGGAAATCACTGGATCTCAGTTGGAACCTGGGAAGATTCTGAAACTGTTGCAAACATGTGAGGGGAGGAGGAAAGTGGAGAGGATTAGATTGACCTGGTGATGCTAACGTTGTAGTATAGGGAAGAATAAATGAGAGGCACCAAGTAGATACATGTCTGTTAATTGCAGTGTCTTCCAAAGGCAGGAATTCCCTCAGAAGGAGTATCTTTTACCTCTAAATGGGTGAGTTTCAAACAATGTCTGCTTCAAACTTCATATGCATTTTAATGGCTGAAGTGGTTTTCTTTTTTTGTTTTTCCTACTAAGACCAGAATAAAGCACTTTATTTTAAGCCTCCTCCTGCTAGTTTGGGCAATCATTTCTACAGTACAGCGTGAAATCTTCATGATCAAGAAGAGATGGTGACCATGCTGTCTATGATTAGACACCAGATCATGGCTGCCCAGGAACTTTATTTTCTATATTGTTTTTCATTTGAATTCTGACTAAGAATAGATTCCTGCTGGTTACTGGGGAAGCTGAAGTGCCTCATAGGTTTAACTTGGGTCAAGAAGTGGTATCTGGTTCAGGGGAAAGTACAGAACCAGTTCAAGATAGGGAACAAGAGACCATGGAGTCAGCAAAGATCTGGAGCATAGGAATCCCTTAAATCTTGCGTTATCTTTCATGAATCACAGCCTGTGATAAAGCTTCCTGACCACCACTCCAAAACCCTGTGTCACTTGTGTAGTTGTTAAAATTGCTCGTTTAGCTTAGCAGTAAGAAAACAGAACTAGACCAGTTGTAAATGTCACTATGGCAAATGCCTCATGTTTGCCCAACTACGAGGAGCTTGACGTGGCACTTCTAGCCTTCATGTAACTTATCTCTTGAAATCTCTTGAAGAAACAAATATTCCGTTCAACACTTCACCTCCAAAGCAGGTTAGCAAGAATTACTGTACATGGGTGTTAAAATTGCCAGGAACTGCTACACATACAACATCAAAACAGAAATGTAAGTTCACAAGACTTCAGTAGGGATGGGGCCCGCACTGTGAGGAAGATACGAAAATGTGTTGTCAGAAATACACTGAGTTTTCCAGAAGCTTAAGTTTTCTCTTTCTCTAACTGTACTCCTGAACATCATGCTTTTACACTGAGTGTTGAAACTGTGGATTGCTCTTGGATTGCCAGATGTGAACTCTTGAACTTTCAAAAAAGTTTGGATCTAAATGTAGATATACTTCTTGGTTCTAATCCAGCTGTAGTTTAATAGAATTTAAAAGAATGCCATTTACATCCATTTTATATTCCTTAAAAGCTACATTAAGATAGAAAGTGAGAGAGTATGTGTGTGTCATGGGTATGTGTTCTCTTATCCAGTGACTTCAGAGATTGCTCCACACTTATGAATGGTGCTTTTTCTAAATGAGCTGCAGTCCCATGACCCTGGTTGGTCCTGTAGGAAAATATTTCAGTCAACAGCACGTGACATCTCTGATAGAGCAAAGCCAGTGACTGCTAGCTGGAGGGAAAGCTGCTCAACTCGGTACTTCCATGCTATCAGGTCTGCTGTTGCTCTTTATTGCTTCTTACAAAAGAAACTTCTGCCTGCAGGAGTCCAGATGTATTTCCTCCTGTTTAGTAAAATCTCAGGGAAAAAAAACCAACCTGTATTTTGTCATGCTATAAGTACTGTCAGAGCTCTCAATGAGATGTTCTTCTTTTAGTTATTCTTCCCCTTTGTTCTCCAGTTGAAATCTTTCACAACCCGGTTAGCTCCCCTGCTTTATAGGTCTAGTTGTAGTTATCTTTTTTTTTGTTGCTTACCCAGGCTTATGATCACCCTCGTTCTGATCATCTGCATAGTGGCTAGTTGTCCTGATTTCAGATGGAACAGTTGGTTTTCTTCAGTGTCTGGTATGATTGTGTTTTGGCTTCTAAAGAAACAGTGTTGATAACACACTGATGATTCAGTTGCTGCTGAGTGGCGCTGCACAGAGCCAAAGACACTTCAGTTTTTCAGCATCCTGTTCTGTCCTGCCCACGAGGTGCCAGGGGCACAAGGAGTTGGGAGAGGCCGGAACCAGGGCAGCTGACCTCATCTGGCCCAAGGGATATTGCATGCCATATGACACATATATTGCATGCAAAAAACTATAAAACTGAGAGAAACAGGCTGGGGGTCAGCTGCTCCTTGGGCATCACTTGGTGAGTAGTGAGCAACTGTGTTGTGCTTCACTTGATTTGTAAATATGTATAGATATTGTTATTGTTGCTGTTACTCCTCTCTTTCTTTTCTTAGTATATACTCTTCATCTCAACTTACAAGTTCTGCCTTTTTTTTCCCCCAATTCTCTCCTGCATCCCACTGGGAGAGGTGAGGAGGGAGAAAAAGGCTGAGCGGTGCTCAGCTGCTGCCTGGTTTACGCCCCGGCACTCACATTACACTTTTCTGCCATGCAACTGACCTCTGCTGTACCACTGCTTCAACGGCAACTTTAAATCACCTTCAGCTCTGATGCAGAAATACTCCTTCCTTCATATGGGTACAGTTGTCTCCTGATGCGTGTTTTCTTCCTTCCTGATGATGGCAAAACAAGCAAGGGGAGCTTCTTAATGCTCTGAGTATGTGTGATCCACCTAAAATAAAATGGCTAGGGTAGGAAGGGACCTCAAGGATTATGAATCTCCAACCCCCTGACACAAGCAGGGCCACCAATCCCCACATTTCACACCAGCCTAGGCTGCCCAGGGCCCCATCCAACCTGGCCTTGAACACCTCCAGGGATGGACGGGGCATCCACAGCTTCTGTGGGCAGCTGTTCCAGCACCTCACCACTCTCATAGCAAAGAATTTATCCAACCTAAATCTTCCCTCCCTCAACTTCAAACCGTTTCCCCTTGTCCTGCAGTTATCAACCCTTTCGAAGAGTCTCCAGCCGGGCTCCTTTTGTATCACGTTCCCAACTTCACGGCTTCCCTTGTGCACGGCCATCCCGAATCACAGCCCCGCGGCGGCTGCAAGAGCCGCACCGGCATCCCGGGAACCCCGGAGCGCGTAAGAGGAGCCCGGAGGGGCCCTTCTGGGGGAGCCCTGCAGGAAATCACGGCGCTGCGGGGGCCCGGCTGGCTCGGCCCCGCCTCGGCTCCTCCCCGCGGCGGGCGGCTCGGCTCGGCTCGCAGCGGTACGGAGCCGGGCGGCGGTGCGGGACGGAGTGCCGAGGGGCCGCTCGTACGCAGCGCTGCGCGGGGCGGGGCGGGGCGGGGCGGCTCCATAGGGGCGATCCGTGCGTTGTTCCCCCCGCAGCGCAGCGGCCTGGGCGCGGAGCCGCTCGTCCTTGGGCAGCGCCGCGGCGCTCGGCCCGCCACCTGCTGCGGGACACGGCGGCTGTCCGTCTGGTTTCCTGATCCCTTTTTTCCCCCCCTTTCGTAGGCACTGCTTTGCTCTTCTGGGGATAGCAGGAAGGACTCTGACCAGTGAGTAATCGAAATTTTTCAAATGTCCGTTTCCCAGTCTGTTCCCTTTCTGATCGAGTGACAGTACCAGGGCAGAAGGAAGATTTACTCGCGGTCGTCCGCTGCTGCCCGGTTTGTCTCCCGGCTCCGGGCCGTGACTTGGCTGCCCTTGCTGCACGCACGGAGCCGCACAGCGCTCTTCTTCCTAAGGACTCGGAAGTGTCAGCTGCTGGGAGTCAGCCGGCAGGCTCCTCTCCGGGGCCAAAAGCACCGCTCTGCATCAAATCCATTCCAAGTCTCCACTTGGAGTACTGCCGCGTCTGAAATGTGTTACAGCTGATCTGCTTCTTATCTTGTGTTTTTTTCTGTACTGCGAGTAGATCTGAGTAAGATATTCCTGGTTGTACTGCAACTATGAAAAAGCAATTTAAAAATAAGCGGGGGAAGTGGGAAGTTGTCTTAGGCTGGGATTGTCAGACAGCTGCTTCATGGAGGGTAACATGAAAGAACTATTTTGTAGTGCCTTGGGAACCCAGCGTGTGTAGCTGTCTCTCCATGAAAGCACTTGTTCACCCAGAGCCCCACTTTTACAGTGGGGTTTGCGTGTTCTTAGCTGGAGTAACGCTGCGGCTATGAAGAGCAGTCCTCTGAAATGAGATCTGGTGGATTTTTGTTCCGTATTCCTATTAATCGCTTCCCTTTTCACACCTCAGAAATCACATGAAATTGATTCCCTGCCATGTACTGGCCGTTTGAGTGCGGATTTTAAAATCAGTGAATTATCACCTTTCTTCACAGATGCCCTCAGAACATGTCTAATTGGACAAGTCTGTGGTATGTCTGGTAAGTTTATTATTAATCTCACTCAGTAAATCGACACACAGTGAGCAAGAATTGCAGTAAGGTAAAGGGAACGCTCCTCTCAGTCAGGATGGGTGGAAGGGACTGCTCAGGGAAAGCTGCCAGGGGAATGCATGGCAGATGGGATGGCAGAGGAGATAAGGTGTCAGGCAGAGCACAGCATTCATCTGGGGGTCTGTCATCTTTCCATTCCGAGTACACCAGAGTTCAGCTGTAGACCTTGTTTGTTCTTCCTAAATAAACAACTTGGGACACAATGGCAGCTGCACAGAACGGACTTGTTAGGACTTGGCACTGCCTCAAGTGCAGTCCTCAGTGCTCTCCCTTTTATGGGACAAGAGGCTGTGAGCTTATGGTGTTGATTTTTCATTCTGATCTCAAGCTGAATGAAAGAATAATAGTAAGTGAGAAGCAAAGGTCTTGCCACAAGTGTTTGTCTCTTTCCTAAAACATGCGCTCTATGTATCCTAATGTTATTTTTGCAGCTTGTATTCTGTCACTTAACACAGTAATTTTGATAGTAACAGATTGAATTGATTAGTTTTAATCATCATTCAGTGTGAGCTAATTTGCTATTCTTTGCTTTCTTAGAACATGCTGATACAGGACTGTTTAAAAATACATATGGTTGCATAAAATATTTTAAGGCTTCTGTAATTAGGCAGAGTTAAAATTGTGAAAGCTAATGAGCTTGTGCTGGGATACCTCTCCTGAGGCGATTTCAGCCTTCCTCCAGGGGTAGCAGTCTGTAAAGGCATGACTGTCACTGCACACCAGCATGCAGCGCTGGTAGTGCAAGGCAATACCCACTGGCTAGAGATGAGGTCACACTCCTTGCACTGCAGGAATGTTTCATTGCAAAGTTCCAGCAGGGCAGTGTGTACTTCTCACACAGGAGAGCCAAGACCTGTAGGCCACCTGCACTGTATTCAGAGCGTCTGTGTGTTTCTTCTGCCTACCTCCATTCCTGACTGTAATAAGAGAAAGCGAGGTTTTATTCCAGACTTGTAGGTACTCATTCTTAGCACCAGAAGATGCAGAGTGCAGCACTTCCTCAAAACTTCAAACTTGTACAAAAATCAGTGTTCCTTCATTTCAGTTCAGAGTTTTCCTTTCTCTGCAAAAACAGTCCTCTAGGTCCATTTTGAGTGTGCCGCCAGTCATATTACTTTGTTGCACCATATCTAGAAACAATTGTTGCATTTTCAAGGCAAAGTGGTTTTGCAAGGTTATACTTGCATTTCCTTTCCACTTTCATTGCAAACAAGCTGAATATACAACCCAAGATCGTTAACGTTACAGAATCTGTAAGCCAGAAAGGATAGTACCAGTAGTCAGAGTGCTTCCAGTTCTGATTGTGATTCAGCTTTGTAATTCTGGATCCAGGACCACTAAGAGGAGGTTTGACCTGTCTTTCACCCATTTACTGTGCAGTTATAGCTGGCTCTGGAAGAAGTAAAACATAACTGATGACATTACGGTGTTCTCCACCCTCTCTAAGGTTAATCTTGCTGACTGTGTTCATGCTCCTGCTCTGTGGGATCACAGCAAGCTGCAAGAAGTTCTGCTGCCGGAAGAAGAGGCCTCCAGTTCAGCCCTTCCCTCGGCACCCCTATGATCTGACCGTTGTTGCTATTGACAGCGACAGCACTGCTCACAGCACCATCACCTGTAGGTATCCTCTGGGTTACACCTACTCCGTCAGGAGCTTTACAACAGCAGCTGATGGCAATATGTGCAGAATTTGCTCTTCTGACAGTGTTGTGTTTTTGGTTTTTTTGAGAACGTATAGATTCCATCATGGATAATTCTATAGTGCTAGCTTTTAGTAGTGTGCATTTATTCTGCAAGCAAAAGGCAAACTATAATTTCTTGGAGAAAAATGGCATTCGCCCTTTATCTATCAGGGTTCCATGCAATTGTTGATCTTTTTTCTTTTTGTTTCTTTTCTTCACAGCATATAGCTCATTCCAGTACCCTCCGAGTGCCCCTATCCCTTCAATATTTGTGGGTATGGATAGGAGCTCTGTATCCCCTCCAGCTTACAGTCCCTACGCAATAGATTTGCCGCCTTCTTATGATGAAGCCGTCCAAATGGGTAAACAACACATTGAAGTAGCACTGGTCAGCCAGAAACTCAGTGACATCCCAGGACAGGTGATGTCAGGAGGGCAGAATCCCATCCAGAATTCACCTGACATAATCAACAGAGATCAAGCAACACAGCCAAATTCAGAAGATGAAACACAAGAACAGCCTCAGCTCTAGCTCACTTTGGATGGGGAGCAAAGAAATGGAAGGACTATGAAAGTTAAAGAGGACATGAAGAATTTGGTCTTGTAAGACAAAGTTATGATGGAAAAATGATTATCCTAACAGATCGTGATAAAGGGCAGCAGTTTAAGAGTGCCTATAAAGGTGGGACATGGATGCTTCTTCATCTCCTGTTTAAGAAAAAATAACTCCCTGTGCCCAGCAGACGACCACGGGGATGTTGCCATCATGGAAACAGTCAGATGGTACAAAAAGCAAGTTGCTGCTCCTGAACAGAGCTTTCCCAAACTGGAGTTGAAAGTAGAATCCTATAAACTCACACTAGAGAGTCAGTGATACTCTGTCTCTCTACGGTTTCTTTCATTTTGAGAACTTTAACTCAGTTAGCTCAGCAAACTGCCGGGGTGCTAAATTTGTCACTACATAATGACATGTGTTCCTTAAACTGAAGAATGACTGCAAACAAGGACAGGAAAGTGTTTGGAGGAAAACGCATTACTTTATGTTTCACAGCTACAGACAAGGAGTGGAACAGATAAGAGAGATTATTTTTGTTGGACATAAGACTTGAAGGGATTGGTTTTGAGTCGTTTTTTTCTTTAAATCTATTGTCAAGATGAGCTGGCTTGCATGTGGGATCTTTTTGCTACTTCTTTCTGCCACTTGAACTACAAATTAGTCCCAAGGAGATTTCCATATTTGGTTGAGTATTAGTAATGTGTTTCAATATTCATGTTCTTTGCTGATGAGCACAGTGGGTTGAAATACAGCAGGAATTGGAAATATCAATTGTTTTAGATGCAGAAAATATATAATAATTTCAGAAGAACATGACACAACCATCATGAGAACTCATGTGACGTCTCACCTGGTGGATTATCAGTGTGAGCTTGACAAGCAGTTAACTACATAGTAGTTTTCCCTTATTTTTAAAGGCTGAAGTAAACAAGAAGATAACACACATGGCATCAGTTTAAGGTTTATGGAAAAACTGTGATACCTAATCAGTTGTAACTGACCACAAAGAGCTAATTATATTGCCTGAAAATATCAGCATCAAGTTCATAATTATTTTCTGCAGTGTGAATCTCTCCCAAGTACATTTCTTCCCATCTTGGTAACATTTGCTTGCACTAAACAGGAAAATCCTGGGGAATTTCAAAGCAGTCTTGCAAACATGAGATACCTCTTGTCACCCTTTCATGTGTAAAAATCAAGATTTAACAGTGGCCTAACCAGGCAATTCTTTATGCCACCACATTACGTTTGTATCTGTCTTTCTGGTTGTACCACAGAGGAGGGCTAATTCCTCTTCTGAGTCATTATGTGCACACTAACAAACATGTTTTGAAAGCTTGATGTAAGAAATGTAGCATGGTGTCTATGTTAATTATAGCTATGAGGAAACCCAGGACACACTAAAGACTCAGCAGACATGAAATTAGAGAGAGAGACTAGGAGGGAAATGTCAAAACCAAAAATCTTGTATGTAAAACAATAAATGTAATTAATTTTTAACAGAGATTACATTTCTATCTCACAAAGATCTTTAGCAAATTTTGCCTAGCTCGCAGTTAGCCAACACGTTATCCCTATATTTCTTGTGTTCTGTACTGTCTGTTACGATAGTAAATATATGTATGGATTACTCAAACTTCCCATTTTTTGTTTCTCAGCACAGCGATCAGTGGGCTAAAACACTGAACTCTCTACTGCTAGAGAGACAAGGCAGAGCACTCTTGTTAGTAGACAGGAATATAAAATGAGGTGAATGAAAAAACGGTGACTGACACAAGAGGGCAGTCCTTCGCTTTTCAGTGAATTGCCTTGTGTGATCGCTGGGAACTGCTCAGCGGTAGCGCCAAGAGGCAAGGCTCCGAGCCTGGGCTCCGACCAGCTCTGCAGAGAGAGGCTACTTTGCAGTGCAAGGACTGAGTTTGCTAGAGGAATAAAAGGGGAATAAAATCACAAGGGTTTGAGTTCCTTCCCCTGCATGTTTTTGCTTTTACAATGCTTCTGTCATGTGAGCTCTCAGAAATTCCTGACAGACTACCTACCACTGCAAGGAGACCCATTCCCTTTGCTCATATTTGCTGCTAGGCACAGTATCAAAACACCAGATACCCATGGAGGGTATTGTAAGGCTCTTGCCTTACAATGTGGTTCATTAACTCAAAATAAACTATTTCCTTGACCCAATCAACACACAGGAACACAGGATTTTCTTTAAACATTTAGTATTTAAAGATTAAAAGCAGCTCAGTCTGCTCCTCACGTTTTCAGTAGTGATGTCTGAGCCCTTGATCTGACTTCTGACCGCTGATAACCAAAGCTCCCCCCGCCCCTGTCTGCAAGGAGGCAGATTATTCCCCTGACAACTGCGCGTTATTTGCAGCTCCACTTAACCCATTTCATTTGCTCAAGAGAATTGCATGAAATATATCTCTCCAGATATAAAGATCATAAATAAAGGCAAAGCAGCGAAAGATGATTTCTTGTTAATGGCTATAAAAATAGGTTTGAGAGAGATTCTATTCAACCTGCATTTTTGCGATGCACCTGTAAAAGGATAGCAAGATTTCTTAGCCTTAATGAGTGGTAAGTTAAAATGAACTTAGCTTTGATTAATGTTTTAAAACTGACTAATTAAATCTGAGTTTAGAATTGAGATTACTGTTCCTTGTTTCTACCACTGCTTTCCATACAAATTTCCATTTTAACCTTTTCTTTGTGTTCTTTCTAGCTCTGTTTATCTCTCTGTGTGAGATCTGACTTCATGATCCTACAGAACTCTGTTGATGGTTGATGCCACTTAGTGAGGTTCAAACAGGATACCTTCAAAAGCTCCCAACCTACATAGGCGTGGTGTTCTTTGTTTCTACCCTATTGAGGTTGTAAAGGGGATCCAATGGATAGGATGTTCTGTAATTGTTCTTATGTATGTTGACAGGGTTCCTGGTTTTGTCAGTGAAAGCACTTCTTGCTTCTATAATTGCATTCTACACGACTTGAAAAAAATAAAACTCAACTGCAGAAAAAGAGCCCAGCTTACATTTGGTTTTGTTACCCTTAACCACGTGTCTAACCACATGTCCTTTCTCACTTGTTTCCAAACAGCCTTGATATGTCTCAACGTCTGGCTCTCTGAGAGCCATTAAAGAGAAACTAGAAGGGGGTGCATGGGAATTAATTCAACGACAATTGATGTCTATGTACATAAAGCTTATAGCCAGTTCTTCAAGTATTCTGAAGCTTTAACACAAGACATTATAAAGGATACTGTTTACTAGTGCTGCAGCAATGCTGAAGGTTTCCATTCCCAGCCAAGGGAATCGACCTGCAGCTGCCTGTGTGTGTGCTATTGTGACGTGTTTAGAAGCCTGCAGGGTGACCTCCACAAAGCTACTTCCTCTCTCCTGTCTCTTTTTCTTCACCTTTCCTGTTGATCTGTTTAAAGCATGTATCCTTTGGAATGGGAAATCCTCCCCACAGTGCCTACCACAGTGGAAATGTGGTCACAGAGGGTCCCACAAGCTCAGCTGGATGGAGGACCTAAGAATTCTGATTTGTCAGTCTAGCATTTACACCATTGCTAGATCTGCTAAACTCTGATTACATCCACAGAAGCTTTGTGACATCTCTAAGGGAAAAGCTCCTCTCCGTAATTAACTGAAGTGCACATCTATTGTGAATTGAATCTGGTGCTCATCTGGCACTGTTCAACATGTAATTCTTCTCCCATTTGTCCATAATAATTGCTTTGGCAGCTATTTTCTGTTATTTGCTGGCTGTGTGCAAGAGCTCATGATGGGGAGATGCACTGCTGGAGCAAGGCAGTGCTTACATCACTGGCAGCAGCTTGCAGTCTTGTTTCTCCTCTCGCACACACATGCGCTCACCATGAGCCCTTGTGCTCAGAAAGAAAATTCAGGCTTGCAAGTAAATTGCCTCAATAATTTATAGGCTTTATAGCCCAGAGCAAATTATACCTTGGCTCTGTGCTGAAATTCAGGCTGCAAATCCCTTTATAGCCAAGCTCGTTAACAATATAAGTAAAGTGGTACATCTATGGTGGCTCTTATGATCAATGCATTAGAATCTTCAGAGAGTATTAAGTGGTAAACCAGCAGCATCCAGAGCAAAGCATCAATAGGATTGGATGCAGTACGACTCAGAAAAGCCATTTCTTTTTCTGCCTTGCACTTGCCTTTGTCTGTCTCGCTGCCCCCCGAATACCATTTGTTCACCATGCAGCATGTGCTATGCTCCCAATCAATAAAACAGATCTTGCTGTCCTGAGGGCTGCTTTACTGCATTAAGCAGCGAGTGTGGAGTACGTAGGTCAGGAATTCCTGCAGGTGCAGTGATCTCTGTTACACCATCCTATAGTGTCTGTGACTTGGCCCGAGGAGAAGGGGAAGGAGATAGATTGACAGACCTTTATCCTAAGGATGGATGCATCTCTGGGGAACTGACCCCACACATCTTATTCCACCTAGCCTGCAGTCTGCCTTCTTCCACCAGATGGTATCAGTGAGCCTAACTGACCTATGTGCATGTCAATTTTTCAGATGCTTGACCTCACAGAATTTAATTAAGAATATTTGGAAGAAAAAATGTCCTTTCCTTTATTCTCCATTGATCCAATAGAGAGCAACTGTGGAATTACAGAACAGCTGAGTTTAGGAGGGACTCTGAACACCACCTAGTCAAACGCTGCGCACAGCAGGGTCAACATGCTCTGGAGCTTGTCTAATGTGGTTCTGAATTATCCAAGGACAGATTACACAACCTCTCTGAGCAACCTGTTCTAATGTCTGACCACTCTTACAGTAAAAGTAGCATATTGAATGTTTGAGTGAAGTTTCCTCCATTTCAGTTTCTTGCTGCTGCTTCTTGCCCTGTCAGTGGGTACCTATTGAGAAGTCCACCTATTTTTAAGCTTTCCCATCTGGTATTTATACACATTGATGAGATCTCTCCTGAGTCTTCTCTTCCTGAGGCTAAATAACCCCAGCTTGCTCATGCTCTCATTTTATGTCAGATGCTTCAATCCTTTAATCATCAAAATATTTAATAACATCTTCTTTCCAATTTGCCTGGATCCTCAATCATTCACGAATTTCACCTGAATTTAACTGTGACATTAAATATATTTGTGCTGAATGTAGGCCTAGAATAAACAGTTGCATAAAGCAAACCATGAGAAGCATCACGTGAGTGATACTCCTAATCATCCTATTTACCCCTCACATCGTGCTGGCAGGCTGTATGCTCTGCTGATGCTACCTATGCAATGCTTTTCATTGCGCTACTTAGACTGACATTGCATCATCTCATACAGTGAGAGTTCAGCACAGGCTTGTAATTAGAGTGGTCAGCTCAGTGTGCTGATTTGTGTCCCAGTGGTGAGAAAACAGGCAAAACTAAATCAGAAAAGGAGCAGAGGAGATGCTTGTATGTGAACTGATTAATCAGAAAAAGATGAGCTGCTTGAAAGCAGGAAAATAAATACAATCCACCTATTGCTTTGCATGGTGCTTCTGGGTAGAAGATGCTATGCAGGTATTCCCTCCTGTGGGAGATTATGTTAGAGAAATACAGGAAATCACCTGGATTAAAAAATGAACATAAGGAATAACACTGTTCTAGCCCTGAAAATGAAGTCTTCTTCTCTCTAGATTCTCTCATTGTCACAAGAAAACTGTTTCATCAGAGCATGCCCTTGTTCCCACAGCTTTCAAGCAAAATGATTGTTTTTTGGTTTAAAAAAAAAATTGGCCTCATTTTCTTACATGAATTATAGCTAGCAATACCAGAAAATGATTGCTTGGTGCCATGCCCTAATTAATAAACAAATAAACCTAAATTTCTTATTGATTCCTACCTCTCTCTTTTCCAATGCATCTCTCTATTTCACGTGTGAAACTTAAAATCCAAAATCTCTGTGCTTTAACCAGCATAGCAAAAAGGCTGAGTCAAGCTTGCACCAGTGATGGAGCACCTGGTGGGAAGGCAGCCCAGGGGAGCTCAGGTGCATGCAATGTACTGAGTGATCAGAAGGGCTGGAGCCAGAATCCACCCCTTCCCAGCCCTCCTTTAAGGGTTGGCAGTGTACATAAGGGGATCCTAGTGGAGGCTCCTGTATACCTGAGGTCTTCTGAAGGTAAGTAGCTTCTTTTCCTTTGTTTCTGCACCCATGGCTGCTGTATTTCAGCAAGCCCACACTTGTTGTAGCCTAGAACCTTCTTCTCTGCTGTTGTGCTTTCCATCACGTTACAAACCAGTGAGATGCTAAGTAACATCAAATCAATAATGAAGTAATAGGGCTCAAGATTAGGATAACTTGAGAACTCATGGGATTAATTTCGTGATATCTTTTATCCATTTGTAATTCTAAAATGTAAGTGTGTATGTATAGCCATTTAGTTTAAAGTTGTGTTTTCCACAGCTCTTCTTACTTTTTCCCTCCCCTAATTGTCTGCTCAGAATTGATTCTGTAAGCTGGCCATTTGGTACCCATTTCTGTTGTAACTCAGCTTGTGCTCATGATTAATCCAGAAGACCAAATTAGTTGCTTCACAAATCCGAAATAACATTGAGAGAAATGAAACTACAAAGAGGGAGTTTCTTATCAGGCTGGAGGTGGGGTGGGAGAAGAAAGAGGCAACTACTAAGTCCAAGAACTAGTCAGATTGCTTCTGGTAGGGATATCCAAAGAACACAAATCCATGCTTGCAGTCATGGACGCACAAGGATCTTTCTCTCTGGCAAGTAATCCAGTACTGCATGTCTGCAGTTCTAGTGATTCATATTTTAAGCTGTTGCATTGTTTTGAATTCAGGGACGGCTCCAGTATAAAAGCTCTGGCACAGGAAGTTCAGCTTCCTCTCCAGATTTCCTTCCTCTACCTTTTTACATGCAGAGCTGCAGGGAAGATATCTGAGCCTTTCCTGTACTGAGTGAATACAGATAACTGTAGAATGGTTTGCATTTACACCCAACACCTTCATGTACAGTGCTGAAGAAAGGCAGTGTGGAAGACAAAGTGGTTCTTAATGACAAGGTCCTGGAAATATTCCTGATGGTTGACTTGCGCTTTGTAATTGCCCACAAAGATGAGCCTCGTCCCTTAAAGAAACAATATAGAAGAGTGGTAAAAGCAACTACTTTTGTCCTTCAGTCCCACTTCTATGAAAATCTCAGTGACGACAGTGGGTATTTAGCCGTAATAGAAATATACCACAAATACAGAGGAAGAAAAACTATGAAAACCAAACCTGGATCGGTCAAAATGGAAGCTGTCACTGTTTTTAATAGGCTAATCTCAACTCCTAGATTTTACCTAAGTTTTGGTGTCCTTTAAAATCAACTTGCTAAGCTGAGGACCCAGCCAGTCTGAGCCTCAGACCAAAAATGTACAAAAAAAGAGCAGACACAACAAAGAAACCCCATCAACAATCCAAACAGGATTATGGCTGAGCTCTGGAAGTGCACGTTAAGTATGCTAGGAGAAAGACAATGCAGAAAGTGTGATGCAGTATTAAAACCTCTGAGCTAGGTCTGTACAAACTGGCACTACCTTGTGGTATATGTGTGCACGTGAAGATCCCTGCTAGGATCACAGAGGTAATAAAGCTGTGGTATGAAGCACTTACACAGTGCTAGGTCAAGTGGAGCAGTACATTGATGTAGCTCACAATGCTTTCAGTTCTAAAGTCTGCCTACTGAGCCGTCTCTGGGATGTGAGGCTGTGCTACTAGTGCTTTACAGTGCTTTATACATCGTATATATTCCCTACAAGAATGATTTCTGAGTATAAAAAAAAAACCAGCATGCTGCATTTACAGAACAGAATAAGCTCTATCAAACATGGCTTATTCTATCACCAACTGATTTCCAGAGCACAACGTTGTGCTGGGGAGAAGAACAGTATCAGCACCTGCTTCAGTACCTTTTGCTAGCATAGCGAGAGCAGACACCAGCACAGCTGCAGTGAGAGCATGGGGAGAGGCCTGAGCAACTAATTGCTCATCATGTG